TGTGTATGTCTGTCTGTCTGCCCTGCGATGGACTGGCGACCTGTCCAGGGTGTATCCTGCCTTCTGCCCAATGACAGCCCCCACCGCGACCCAGAAGGATAAGCGGTTTAGATGGTGGATGGATGGATGGATGGCTTCCACAGGCAGCGTGTGAGAAGGGCGTCCAAATGTCTGGGTGTGATCTGAATTTTGCAGAAACAGGCGATGAACCACCTCCTCTGAAGCTCTGAACACTACAGAGTCGACCTCTGTATCAGCAGAGGCAGATAAATGGAACAAACTGTCCGTCACAGCCTCCACACGAAAGAGTGAATAATCCGTACCTGCATTTTCAGCCAGATCAGCCGAGACTCTCAGATCTCTGACTGTCCGCTGTCTGTAAGCAGCCATTACTGAACTGTCTTGTCCTTATTTACCGCTGATAGAGCAAGACATGTTCAGTCAATCCACAGAATCTGTCATCGATCAACCAATAGAAATATCACGGCGCAGTGACATCATTGACTGACAGCCCCTTTATAAATAGGGAAATAAATAAATATAGAAATGAATAATTATGAAAATAAATGAATAAAAAATAAAAAAAAATAAATAAGAAACATATAAATAACAAAATAAATAAATACAAAAATTAGTGAGGAGGGGAAATTACTAAATATATAAGTAAATACTTATAAAAACATATAAGTAAACGCAGACATACATTTATGTAAGGTTTTATTTATTAATATATATACATTTTTAGGTATATTTATTTATTTTTAGATTTATCATCATTATTCTTTGCAATTCTAATTTAAATATTAATTTACTGAGTCATTTATTTTTCTCATTTTGGCAAATCTGGTCCTCCATAAAGATATCGTCCCTTTTTTAAAAAAACAAGGCTAAGATTAATGTTTGTTAGTATTTATGCTAATGTTACATCATTTTTTACACGCATAAAGGCACTTTCTGCTCAGATAAATGGTTTTAAACAATTTGCTTCTGAGACTTTTGCGCAGAGCTGCATTTCTGAAGTATAAACAAAGCAATCGTGAGAAAAGAAATCCTAGAGTAAATATTAGAGCTGGGGAGATGAGGGAGGTTGTGACATGGAGTAAGCTGTAACAGCCCCAGCTTCATTAACAACGAGCAACGGGGGTGATATCAGTTCTGTGCTCCTCCCTGGGCTGACAGCAGAAGTTTGAAGGGAAGGCTTTGTGTGTCATATTTATATTATATATACATACACATACAGTGGTGCCGCCCCTATTTTGGGCCAATTGGGAGAGCAGAGATGAGCATGTAGAGGACTCACAGAATGCTGTGTGCCTTTCCTCTTCCCTTGTTTAGTGGTTTAGTGTAAATTTAATAGGTTAGGTGTTTTTAATTAGTTGTAATATGACTGTTTAATACATACACTCCCATGCAAAAACATTGAACCAAGCTCAAAATGACAAAACGTTAAGCTTTGAATGGTCTTAACAACAATTCATCAGTTGGTAAATTAGCAAAATCTAAACAAATAGATGAAGAGAGTTAGTGCTGGATTGCCTGTCTCTTTATTTTCTTTAAATGTTGAAGTCAAACTTGCAGACAGCCTCGTATAGAAACAAGAGTCAATATTGCTCCACTCAGAGCTGATGGCTTCAAACAGCTGAAAAACATTGCCAAGCTAGTTTGTGTTTAATGCGAGACCAAATATTCTCCACTGGGTTTAAATGGGTTTAAATCAGGGATCTGACTAGGCCAAAACCATCAATAAAACTGGGGCGGGGGGTGGGGGGGGGTCTTTTGGTTCTAGAATAATGGGATCAAATTTCTGGCGAGGTCAGCGGAGGTGGCAGTCAGCGGGGGGGAAAAGGACACAGATATGACACACGCGATTTGCAAGGAGTATCATATGAAAATACCTGCTGCACTATTTGAGGAGGAACATGAAAATTCAAATAAAAAGCTGACTTTTGGTTTGTTGACAGCAAAACTAATGTTAAATCAGCTCAACCGAAAAAAAATCAGCTTGACAAAGCTACCTTCCAGTTCTGAGCCAGCTAAGAAAATAGCATAATGCATCACGTTGCTTGCTTCATGTTTAGAGACCTGTGTCCATACACTGTTGTGGAAAACTAAGGCTGGATCATTCTCAGCACTTCAGTAACACTGACGAGGTGATGGTGTGTTAGTGTGTGTTGCGCAGATCTGAGTGGATCAGACACAGCAGTGCTGCTGGAGTTTTTAAACACCTCAGTGTCACTGCTGGACTGAGGATAGTCCACCAACCAAAAATATCCAGTCAACAGCGTCCTGTGGGCAGCGTCCTGTGACCACTGATGAAGGACTAGAGGATGACCAACACAAACTGTGCAGCAGCATCTCTGACTTTACATCTGCAAGGTGGACCAACAAAGTAGAAGTGTCTAATAGAGTGGACAGTGAATGGACACAGTGTTTAAAAACTCCAGCAGCACTGCTGTGTCTGATCCACTCAGACCAGCGCAACACACACTAACACACCACCACCACGTTAGTGTTACTGCAGTGCTGAGAATGATCCACCACCCAAATAGTACCTGCTCTGTGAGGGTCCATGGGGGTCCTGACCACTGAAGAACAGGGTAAAAGGGGGCTAACAAAGTATGCAGATAAACAGATGGACTACAGTCTGTAATTGTAGAACTACAAAGTGCACCTTTATAGTAAGTGGAGCTGATAAAATGGACAATATATATATATATACACCCACTTTTCCACTTACCCCAAATTTAGTTGATCGGCCAAGTTGTTTTAAGGTCACATTTTGCTTTAAGGTCACATTTTGCTTTTTTTTACTTCTGAACTGCAGCTATGAGGCTAATGTCACTAACCAAAACTCAATAGTGTCCCAAATAGCCCAAATCTTTTCTGATGAAGCACATCCCAAAACGTCTCTCAACCCACTCAAACCGCATTCAGGTCTTCTTTAAGGTGGTGCAGACTTGTCGTTGTGTTTCAGCGCTCAGTGTGACTTACTATGAACTTTAAAAATAAACAAAACTTCACCGCAATGCACAGCCGAGTCAGACAAGACCAGGGCTGGTATAGCTTACACAAAGTGGGACTGATCTTGGATCAGATTCCTCTGTATTTATGACAGTCACTGTCACAGATCCTGATTCTAGATCTGCACTCCTGCCCCTGTTGTGGTTTGTGAGTTCACACCCCTCTGCCTGCAGTTTTTTATATTTTTGTAGTTCATAGTAAAGTCGTACTGTGCACTAAACCACAAGTCTGCACCACCTCAGTGAAGACCTGGATGCGGTTTGACTGGGGTGAAAGACGTTTTGCTGATGTTTTTTTATAAACAATTTGTGCTTTTAGGGTGACTATTCATTTCTAATTTTTGTTAGCAATGTTAGAAAAGTTCTAAACTAAAGTAGGAAAATTTGGACTCCGAGTATGTTTTGGCTGACCAACCACATTTAGGGTAAGTTATTAATTAAATTAGTAAATTTGCCAGTAAATTAAAGTAAATTGGTTTTTTCCTTTTTTGGAGCTACAAGGGTAATGTTGGAAAAAAAAGTCAGTAGTTTTGTTTTCTTTCAAAATGCATGCACGTCTTCTTTAAGGTTGTGCAGACTTGTCAATGTGGTTTAGGGCACAACATGACTTAATGTGAACTATCAAAGCTTTGCCGTGTAGCTGAATAGAGAAGGCAGTCACTTTTGACAACAAGCCAAAATTTGACTTGATTTCTGTTGTATCCTTTTATAAGTACTTTGTTTATCTTGAATTTTCTTACTGAATATATGTTTAACAATAGAAACAACAGACATTGTGAAACTAATCTAGCATTAATACACAGATCTGGCATAACATTATGACCACCTCCGTGTTTCTACGCTCATTGTCCATTTTATCAGCTCCATTTACTATATAGCTGCACTTCAGTTCTACAATTACAGACTGTAGTCCATCTGTTTCTCTGCATCTCTGTTCTTCAGTGGTTAGGACCCCCATGGACCCTCACAGAGCAGGTACTATTTGGGTGGTGGATCATTCTCAGCACTGCAGTAACACTGATGTGGTGGTGGTGTGTTACTGTGTGTTGCGCTGGTCTGAGTGGATCAGACACAGCAGTTCTGCTGGAGTTTTTAAACACCTCAGTGTCACTGCTGGACTGAGAATAGTCCACCAACCAAAAATATCCAGGCAACAGCGTCCTGTGGGCAGCGTCCTGTGACCACTGATGAAGGACTAGAGGATGACCAACACAAACTGTGTAGCAGTAGATGAGCTATCGTCTCTGACTTTACATCTACAAGGTGGACTGACAAGGTAGGAGTGTCTAATAGAGTGGACAGTGAGTGGACACAGTGTTTAAAAACTCCAGCAGCACTGCTGTGTCTGATCCACTTGTACCAGTGCAACACACACTAACACACCACCACCACATCAGTGTTACTGCAGTGCTTAGAAAGATCCACCACCCAAATAGTACCTGCTCTGTGAGGGTCCATGGGGGTCCTGACCCCTGAAGAACAGAGTAAAAGGGGGCTAACAAAGTATGCAGAGAAACAGATGGACTACAGTCTGTAATTGTAGAACTACAAAGTGCACCTTTATAGTAAGTGGAGCTGATAAAATGGACAATGAGCGTAGAAACAAGGTGGTCATAATGTTATGCCTGATCGGTGTATGTCCACATGATGGGCGTCTTACTCTGCATGGAGGTGGAAATTGACACAAAAAATGTTAAAAAATGCGAACCTCAGTTATTTCTGTTCAAAGTAAGTAATGCAGCTTCAGTAAAGAGCTGGATGTCTTTTGAGTGAGATTTTGAGGATGTATTGACAGAAAAGATTTGGGTGACTATTGACCTCTAGTGTTACAATGTTAGCCTTGTAGCTTCAGTGTCAAACTAAAGAAGCAAAAGTTGGACACTAAACATGTCTTGGCTCATTGACTTAATCTGGTGTAAGTGGAAAATTGTGTCAATGAGATTTATTGCAGAACTTTTCCTTATGTGTTCTTAATTGTAGGTGGAGCTTGCCCTCCTGACCTCAATGACCTTGAGCTGGAACCTCCAAGCATAGTGGTAGAATATGGAGATCGTGTCTCAGTGAACTGCAGCTCGTCCTCGAACTTCACAGAGCTGAGCTGGAAGGGTCTGCCAGAACACGTGTCCTCGAACGATATTGCGACCGTCACCTGGGAGACGGACAGCTTGACTGACTGGGACATACAGCCTGAGTGCCACATGAACTTGAGTAATGTACAATGCAACAGAGCACTTCCCCTTATCATATACAGTGAGTATCCATTATTACTGCATTCAATTCACAGGTTTATTCCATCCAAAGGCGTATTATTCAGTAACTATATGGGAAACAATGCAATTTCATTGGCTTTGACACATAGTTGTTATTAACTCAATTAAATTGCAAGAAACTGGTATGTGGGCCTACCTTTCAGCTTCTCACTCTCATTACTACATAACTGATTTTAAGTTACATTGTATAAAAGTAATGTTAAGTAATTTTAAATTCTAACACCATATTAAAAGAAGAATAAGTGTTTTACACTTGCTAAACTATTGCTCAAAGTTGAAACAACTCAAACTTTTAAGTAAAGCAGGTTACTTACTTTTTAAGTTCAAAAAATGTTTTTCAGTATATTAATGCACCAAGTGACTTTTATGTTGTTTGGCAACAATAGGGTACTGTTATCAAACTAAATTGCTAGGCAAACTACAACCCCATTTCCAAAAAAGTTGGGCCGCTGTGCAAAATGTAAATAAAAACAAAATGCAATGATGTGCAAATCATTTAAACCCTGTATTTCATTGAAAATAGTACAAAGACAAAATACCAAATGTTAAAACTAAGAAACTTTATTGTTTTTAAAAAAATATTTGCCCATTTTCAATTTAATGCCAACAACACATTCCAAAAAAGTTGGGACAGGTGAAACAAAAGGCTGGTAAAGTTGTGTAATGCTAAAAAAAACACCTGGTGGTTGATTGGCAACAGGTCAGGAACATTGTGTATAAAAAAGCATCCCAGAGAGGCTGAGTGTTTCAGAAGTAAAGATGAGGAGGGGTTCACCACTCTGTGAAAGACTGCACAAGCAAATTGTGCAACAATTCAAGAATAACGTTTCTCAACATAAAATAGCAAAGAACTTTTGCTTTTCATCATCTATGGTACATAATAACATTAAAAGATTCAGAGAATCTGGAGAAATCTCTGTATGCAAGGGACAAGGCTGATAACCAGTATTTGCTGGCTGTGATCTTTGGGCCCTCAGGCAACACTGCCTTAAAAACAGACATGATTTTGTAGTGGAAATCACTGCATGCACTCAGAAACACTTCTGAAAACCACTGTGTGTGAACACAGTTCATCACTGCATCCACAAATGCAAGTTAAAACTTTTAAACGACAAGATGAAACTTTACATAAACAGGATCCAGAAATGCTGCCAACTTCTCTGGGCCCGAGCTTATTTAAAATCAAAATTTGAATTTCTTTTTGGTAATCATGGACACTGTGTCCTCCAGGCTAAAGACCACTCAGCTTGTTATCAGTGCAGAATTCAAAATCCAGTATTCATGATGGTATAGGTGGGCACTAGTGCACATGGCATGGGTGACGTGCACATCTGTGAAGGCACCATTAATGAACGATATATACATTGTATATGTTGTTTTGCCAACATATACTGCCAACAAGACAACGTCTTTTTCAGGAGAAGCCTTGCTTATTTTAGCAAGACAGTGTCAAACCACATTCTGCATGTATTACAACAGCATTGCTCCATATTAAAAGAATCTGGGTGCTAAACTGCCCTGCCTGCAATCCAGACTTGTCACCACTGTAAACATTTGGCACATCATGAATTGAAAAATATGACAAATGAGACCCCGAACAGATGAGCAGCTGAAATCCTACATCAAGTAAGAATGGGAAAACATTTAACTTTCAAAGCTCCAGCAGTCGGTCTCCTCAGGTCCTAAACGCTTACAGAGTGTTGTTAAAAGAAGAGGTGATGAAACACAGTGGTAAACATGCCCCCGTCCCAACTTTTTTGGAACATGTTGTTGGCATCAAATTCAAAATGGGCACATATTTTTTCAAAAAACAATAAAATTTCCCAGTTTCAACATTTGATATGTTGGTCTTTGTAGTATTTTCCTTTAAAAATATGGTTTACATGATTTGCACATCATTGCATTCTATTTTTATTTACATTCTACACAGCATCCCAACTTTTTTGGAAATGGGGTTGTGATTGCTTTTTGCGTTTATTATTAACACTACATTACATATTGAATATTCATGTATTTTTTGACCTTTTTGTCATTATATTAAAGTAATAAGCCACTCGAGGTTGTGTGTTACAGTGATTTTACCAGAGATAAAGAGGAATATCTTAAAAAAAAATTGCATAATTTAATTTTTAAGTATGTAAACAAAGTCATTCAGAGTGGTTCACAGTGGTGGTGAAAGGAACCAGACGTCTGAAGAGTTTAATGCGAAAAGCTAAATGTTACCTCAGAGAACGTCTTTACACAAAATGGTAATGAATATGATGTCTGATTCCCAAAACATTGTGTTACAATAGATCTGAGATAAAGTTTGACCTAAAACATGTTTTTAAAATACATTCTTGGTGAAAGAGCTACATGCTAAGGCAAAACAAGCCTCAATTTTATCAGATTTATCACAATTTTCAAACATCAGCAACATTACAGATATTAACTAGTGGTGTTGTAGTCCAGACCGTTGGACGCGAGTGGGAGTCAAAACTGAGAACTGGACATATCTGGTCTGAGTTAAGACCAAGACTTTGTAGAAGTCGAGTCCAGACCCGAGGGAGATTGTATGAATTTTGGAACTTAAATAACGTTAACAAACAAATAATGCCCAGTTAAGCCATTACACAAAGGATCAGTTAGATCCTCGACCGACAGCGAACAGGTTTAAACATAAAGGAAAGAAGGGACTGTGTTATTCTGTTTGTAGGTTTTGTTGATATTCAATAATGAAAGAAAAAAAGTCATTCAGTTTCCAGTTAGCTAGATGGAGGCATCGGACTCGACTGGTCTCAAGTACAGTTTCCTTACTCTGCCCACCTTACCCTGAGACCGAGACAAGACTGAGTCAAAATGATGTCGAGACCAGACTCGAGTACTAAAGCATTGCTCTGAGGACATGTGTAAGGTCACTGGCTGGTCATAATGAATAGCAGATAAAAGGGCTACATTTGTCTTGTAGACATTGTGACTCCTGGTTCCTCTCACCACCACTGTAAAGAAATCTGAGTCAGTAAATTTCTCTACAACGAACCATTGAACATCAAACAATCCTGAATGACTCGGACATCTCAGCGAATGAATTATGCCGAAATTTTCTAATATTAGTGTTTGCAAATTCCCTTTAACTGGTGTTGTTAAGTATGATCACAATATATTACAAACACAAGTGTAATAAATATAAAACCATGTAGCAGATAATGCATCAAATGATAAAAAAAGACTTGTTGGCTATTTTCTCTTTGTGCAGAGACTCCAGACAGGGTGTCCATCAGCATTGTGGGTCACACTGGGCCGATGATTGAGGGTGAACAGTATGAGCTCCAGTGTGACATTCAGAATGTTGCTCCTGTTGAGTTCCTCACTGTGAGCTGGTACAAAGGAGACACTCTAGTGAAAAATGTAAACTTCACTGACTCCATCAAGACTCCAGTGAATCTGTCAGATACATTCCAGATCTCCCCCAGCAGAGATGATGATGGAGCTCAGTACAGGTGTGAAGCAGAACTGGATCTGGGACCAGATGGACCTCAACCTCCTCCTCGAGTCATATCAGGTCCCCTCAACATTACCGTGCATGGTACGTTTGTTATGGACTAACTAAAGTTAATATGTCAATATGTCATAATTTACCATTGTACAATATATAACATACAATGGTATAAAAAAAGTTCAAACTGTAAAATGTTCATTTTAATTGTGGTTTGCGATTGGCTATAAAAATTGACTAACATCTATCAAGAAGGGAGGTTCATGTCTACTAGGCTTTTTAGTGCCTCTGCTAATAGAAATAAAAACAGTAGACTTTGAGAAAAAAGTCATACTATTTTGAGAAAGAAGTCGTAATATTTCGAGAAAAAAAGTCGTAGAATTATGACATTAATTGAGCAATAGAACACGAGAGGGAGTGTGTTATTGCGAAATAACATCACGGCTGTGATTTGGTCGCAGGCACGAGCGATAACACATGACCTCGAGTGTTCTATTGCTTTTTCTATTGCAGACCAACTGACAGTTTGGGAATTTAGTGTAGTCTCATCTTCAGAGTCTGACCAAATCGGCTGTCGGTCAAATGTGATCTTCAAAGTATCCATTTTCTGTTTGTGCGTAAAAACGTTCAAATAGCTTAAGCGTCTCCTATCAAAGTTGTTGCTTAGCAACGGTGTCTCAGCGGAGTGATACAGTGATGTTATGGCGAAATAACAGCACGGTTAGAATGCTTCACAACCAAACAGCTTGCATGGCTGGAATTAACTGTGGCATTAATACCAGGACAGGTCTCAATATTGTGGTCAAAGGCTTTGCAAAGGGAAGGCAGCACCTCCCCGTGTTAAATGAGGGGCGTTAAGGAGCTGGAGGAGTTACACTTTCATATCGATTTCACCCATAAAAAAATACTCAGTCTCCCTGTCTCTCCTCGTACATGTGAGGGTCCATGGGGGTTCTGACCACTAAAGAACAGGGTAAAAGGGGGCTAACAAAGTATGCAGAGAAAAAGATGGACTACAGTCTGTAACTGTAGAACTACAAAGTGCACCTATATAGTAAGTGGAGCTGATAAAATGGACAATGAGCGTAGAAACAAGGAAGTGGTCATAATGTTATGCCTGATCGGCGTATCTAACAGTTTAGAAATAAATTCAATTACAAAATTACAAAATCTTGCTACTACTGGACATTTCTAAAAATTGAAGTACCCACTAATGCGGCAACTGCTGCAGTTTTTGTCAGTACTAAGTTTCATCTGGAAGGCATGAAGATGAGTTATACAGAACTTCTGTACGATCTTGTAATGAATTAACTGATGGCATATGTTTTCATATGTTCTGCCAGCCAATACTGTAGTTTAGAAATGCTGTTGTTAGCCTCTTAGATACCATCCCTGTCCTGCCTTTGGGCTGCCTGTAGTATGTCCATACTTTGCCCAGTGTTGCTAATGAAGCAGCCAGCGTAGAAATTTCAGATGCTTTTTTTTCCGAGATTAGTTCAGAAGTTATCTGTGTTGCTGTGAATACTCTTAACATCCGTGCGAACTTCTGTCAGTTTCAGGCTATCCAAGGAGGAGTTGAGAATCTGTATATACCGGACACGAGTGTCTTGCTCTTCCGCTAATTTTAGCAGCCACCTAGCCTTTTTTGCTGCACTTTTGGAAGCGGGAGTGTCCGATTTTGGTGGCCTTTCCCGGCTGGAGCTTTCCCTGGAAATGTCCCCATTTTTAACTGTGAATTAAAACGCACACTGAAAAGTCTTAAGAAAGACATGGTAACAGAGCAGATGTCGTTGTGTTTATCTTAGCCGACAGAAGGGTCTGGCTGCTGCTGTCACCTAACCACTTCCACACTTTGCTTGCCTAGTTTTAGAGAATACTGCTGTGTAAAACTTGACCAGAAGCTAGCAAGTGAGTCCACTAGTAGAGAAAACAACCTTTGCCTGTAAAAGCAAAGTGAACTCCCACTCAAATTAAGTATTGATTGTAATGTATTGTACAGCACTTATGTATTTTATCGTATTGCACTGTTCTGTGTTTAACTCTGTCCCTTTTTCACTAGGTGTCAATGTCCTTCTGATTCTACCAGTATCTGAGCTTAGGACTGACTTTCTCTCTAACCTATCGGTAGCTAGCGAAGATTCTTTCTCTGGATAGACAAAGCACTTTTTGTAAGTCGCTCTGGATAAGAGCGTCTGCTAAATGATGTAAATGTAAATATAAATGTAAATGTCTCCTGTTTTGGAACACTTCGTTTCCTGGTTGAGTACAACACTGACGCGTAACAAGTGGTAGACTGAGCGGTGACAGCTACTTATCCACACTGATTTTAACAGCCGGCAAGCACTGAGTCTAAATGGGCCCTGGCAAGAATGATTACAGCTTCTAATAGCTAACTGGTTGTTAAGTCCACCTCTATTCAGTTGTAGAGTCTGCAGTCTGTTGGCAGTGATTGAGCCATGTTAGAAAAGCACTCATTTTAGCCAGAAGGTGAGATCCAGACTTTACATAGAAAAACCTAGGATCTGACCCAAAATGACAACATGTAAAGCTTAGTTCAATTTTGAGATGTAGACTTGAAGTCCACAGAGTTTTTGTTTACTGTTATTATAATGAGCCGTGATAACACACGTGGTTGCCAGATGCATCATGTGCAACATGTAATTAACATCTTGCACTTTTGTTTATATTATTTTTTATTTATTTTATGTCTTCTACCAAAATTCTTTGTGCCAGTTATGCCTTTAACAAGCACTGTGTCTTGTTGGAATCTGAATTATCAATAAATAAAAAATAAAAAGATAAATAAATAACTGACTAGGTATACCTGGTTGTGCCCTTGGGCAAGACAACCCCCTACTGCCCCAGGTGGCGCTGCTCAGCTGGTGATGCTGTGCTGATCCCAGATTGGGCACAGTTAGGCAGCAAAATAACAAATTTTGCTTGTAGAACCACTAATGTACATAACATAACATAACATAACATAACATAACATAACAACATAACATAAATGTGAAAGTTATGTTGGTATTTTTTTTCTAAATCTGTATCGAAAATGTTTGAATTGTATTGCAAATATGGCAGCCAAGATGGGTTTGGTGTCCAAATTTTGCTTCGTTAGCTTCCTGTAAATACATCCCTAAAACTTCTCTCAACCCTCTCAAACTGCATCCAGGTCTTCATTAAGGTCGTAATGACTTGTCAGTGTGGTTTAGGACATAGTATGACTTACTATGAACTACAAAAATAAGCAAAACTTCAATGTGTAGCTGAATGCAGTGGGCAGCCACCTCAGACAGCAGGTGTTGTGCCAAAATTGAACTTCTGATCGTGCAGGCATATGAACATTAAACATGACTTGATTATAGATTTGCAATTTCTGTTGTTTCTTTTTATTTTAAAAATAGACAAAAAAGAAATCTTGAATGTAATCTATGTGTGCATTCAAAGAGGAGTCAAACTCTGGAGGGCACAACACTGTTGTCTGAAATGGCTTACAACAGAGTTTGGATAGTTTTATTTTTTTTATTATTTTTAGGTAATCATGTTCACCTAAATCTCATCAATGAAGAGCTGGATGTGGTTTGAGTGGGCTGAGAAAAGTTTTGGGGATGAATTTCTGGAACAGATTTTAAGATTAAGATTAAGTGACCCTTATTAGTCCCACAATGGGGAAATTTCACCTCCGCATTTAACCGATCCGTGCAGTGAAACACCACATACACACACTAGTGAACACACACACTAGGGGGCAGTGAGCACACTTGCCTGGAGTGGTGGGCAGCCCTATCTGCAGTGCCCAGGGAACAGTTGGGGGTTAGGTGCCTTGCTTAAGGGTACTTCAGTCACATAGTGTCGGCTCAGGGAATCGAATCGGTGACCTTCCAGTCACAGAGCTGGTTTCCTAACCTCCAGCCCACGACTGCCCCCTATTTGGGTGACTATTGACGTCTAGTCTTTGTTTGGAATGTCAGCCTCAGCTATAATTTGGACACCGCTTGTCACCACTGACTCACAAACTGAATTGCGTAAATCAGATTTTTTTCCAAACCATACCTTTAAGCTTAAGCAACAATAATGATTTGAGTTCAGTTAGGTGAGAATTGATTTAGGAAGATAAATAATTTGTCCTTCTCAAGGTGTGTCTTGCTGTGGGCGTGTCTTAAAAGGGAGTGGCTTGTAGTGGGGAGTGGGTGGTAGTGGGAGTATTTGGTACTCATCAAGACCAAAGGTACAACAGATTGCTTGTGAATGCTGATGAATTATAGTCTGTTTTTGCAGATCCTTGTCCCCTTACTCTTCACCCTCCTAAAGTGGTGGTTGAATATGGAGGTTCAGCCTCAGCAAACTGTTCCACTTCTGTTGACCATGTGGGAATGGGCTGGGAGGCCTCTCAGGGACCAGTGGACATGAAGGATGATGTCCAGTTAGTCACCTGGAATGTGGACAGGCTTGTGGAGTGGGGCATAAAACCATTTTGCTTCATGAATCCTAATCCAGAAAAGCAGTGCAAAGTTGATCTCGCAGTTACTATTTACAGTGAGTCGCTGTCTCACCTGTTTGCTTTCAGATATATTACTTATTCACTCTCCTTAATTAAACATTTATGTGGATAAAATCTCAAATCTTTTCCTACAGAGACTCCAGACAGGGTGTCCATCAGCGCTGTGGGTCACACTGGGCCGATGATTGAGGGTGGACAGTATGAGCTCCAGTGTGACATTGAGAATGTTGCTCCTGTTGAGTTCCTCACTGTGAGCTGGTTTAAAGGAGACACTCTAGTGAAAAATGTAAACTTCACTGACTCCATCAAGACTCCAGTGAATCGGTCATCTACACTCCAGATCTCCCCCAGCAGAGATTATAATGGTGCTCAGTACAGGTGTGTAGCAGAACTGGATCTGGGACCTGAAGGACCTCAACCTCCTCCTAAAGTGACATCAGATCCCTTCAACATTACAGTACACTGTAAGTCCTCCACAGATTGTTTCATCTTCTTTACACATAACATACAGACGGATGACAAATGAAGGAAAGACTGACATAAAGTGACTTAGTAAGGCGTTGGGCCACCAGAACATCTTCCAATTGATATTCCCTCAATTGGTGCTTTGACGATGGTGGTGTGGAGGGCAGTCTAACACGTTGGTTTAAAATCTCTCACATTTGTTCAAGTGGATTAAGGTCTGGTGATGTTAAAGACCATAGCATTTGATTTGTATCATTTTCATATCAGGCTATTGACTATAGCAGACAGTAGTGGAATCATCACTCTACCTTTGCCCTTATGTTGATACAAACAATAGCATGACTGTGTACTAAGATTATTATAGTTTTGAAATTTTCATCAGTTTTTATTTTTATTTAGTTTCTTATTTTGGTTTTTGATTACAGTTTAGTTTCAGTTGGTCTTAAGGGTACACTTTCAGTTTTAGTTTAGTTTTTATGTCCAACCTCATTTCCAAAAAAAGTTGGGACGTTGTGTAAAATGTTAAGAAAAACAGAATCCAATGATGTGCAAATCATTTAAACCCTATATTTAATTGAACATAATACAAAGAAAACATATTAAAACATATACAACGTGTTGCTGGTAAAAAATTCAAAATAGAAATATATTTTTCAAAAAAATAAAACTTTATTTGATATGTTGTCTCTGCACTATTTTCAATTAAATATAGGGTTTATCGCTTCATTCTGTTTTTATTAACATTCTGCACAGTGTCCCAACATTTTTGGAAACCTTGCCTTGTAATTTCAGTTTTAAGTATTATGATTAATGCTGTGAGAGTAGGTATTTGATAAGGGTAGAATAAAATTTAGAAAACAGTTGACTCAGCTTGGCTCGGCTCCAGCCTTCCTTAAAGACCAAACACAGAAGGGATCTAAAATCTCTAAAATCTCATTCATACACTGAAAAACAAAAAGCAAACAATTTCTCCTCCGTAATTTCACTATGTTTAACAAGCACATTTTTCACTGCTGTTTTCATTGTTGTAATAGTTTTAGTTGACTATAGTAACCCTGCTGTGTGCAGATTAACTAGAATCCTGGATTCCCATTAAAAGAACTAACACCCAAACACTTCACTATAAAGCAGGAATCTGGACACAACGCTTCAGATTAAAAAACTGGCGTGCTCATGGACGTCGCAATGCCAGTTTTAGGTGACTTTAGACCACTTTAAATGTTATCAAGCCCCTCCTTCCCAAGTAAATGTAAATTACTAGTCCAGATCATCTATAGTCCATTCTCATTCACATTATACTGTAAGGGGAGGGTCTCTGGTTTTGTACTGCAAAGTAATCGGTAACCGCTGAAGCTGAAGCCAGGATTTTGGCTAAAAGCTCACTAAAATAAACACACAGACCTTTTTCAAAATCTATAATATACGGAGTAAAACAGTGAGTAGTTACAAAGTGAATATATCCACTTACAAAATGGATTCATGAAAAATTATGGTCAGTAGGCTGTAGCTGGCTATCAGATTTTTTACTTGGTTACTTGTTAGCTACGTTGGTTAACTTTTGGTGTATGTGAGACAAAGAAAGGGGGTCAGGCTTACCCTAACATTAACTAGCTTGCTAGCTGACAAGCCAATAGTTTAAGCCAGGTAATTTAAGCCACTCACTTCACTCACACAAGCAAGAATGATCAATAAAGAGCTTTTTAAGATTTGTCTTCAGTATTTAGAAACAATAACACCAGTATTTGCCATGTATTGTTGTTTACAGTAAGTTAATGTAAATATATATATATATATATATATATATATATATATATATATATATATATATATATATATATATATATATATAATGCTGCATGTATTTTTCAGCTTAAACCAAAAGCATTTTTTCTTATTGTTTTATGTCCACTTTTCAGACATGCCTGTAATACATTGTTCAGATTGGAACCCCTTGATAAACACCCCTCTGAGCTCTTATCCTTATTCTGTTATGGGAAACCCACGCCCACTGACCAGTTGGCATCAAGAAAATTCAAGAATTAAATCTACTAAGCGTCTCAGCAAAGATGACTCTGGCCAGTATAAATACTTAGCCTCCAATAAGATCAACACTGCAGTCTGTGTTACCAATATCACAGTGGAGTGTGAGTAGAAAAACTCTTTGTGTACATCTAACATAAAACTGTTTTGCCAATTTACTAGCTATACCTACCTTATATCTTCACTGACTGGCCATTTTATCAGAAACAGTGACCACATACAGTGCCTTGCAAATTCAATCCCATGAAAAGCCATTAGATTTATTTGGATTATAAATGAAACTTACACAGACTGGTCCAACCAGTATTTTTATTGCAAACCAATATGATCTTAAAGTCAATTTTCAAAGTTGAAATTCATTGTTTGTCAGCAGATCTTAAAAAATAAATAAATAAAAAACTGAAAAATGCTGCTTGCATAAGTATTGAACCCCTTCAGACTAGTAATTTTTCCTGTGTCTGTATTGTGCTGGTACAAGTGTCCAGTATGAGGCACAGTGGCATTGCTGGGAGTTTACTGGCCACTTTTTTACCTTTTTGACAGACCTTGTAGGTGTACAGTTGGTGACTATAGCTCATCTTTGTCCATACATAATTTGTGTTAGCCATCCTGTAGCCCTTCATCAAATGACCAAATGGCCAATAAGTATAAATGTAGCTAGTGAAATGGCAACTCAGCACACAGAACTGTGAAAAAGTACTAAATCACCCTTCATTTAATTTCCAGTCAAAACAGCAATTAAACACGTTATTCATTTTTCAGAAAACATACATCTATCATAAAATTATGGGAGCCTCAACAACTAAATCTAATTTTTTTCAGTTTTAGTGTGCCTTTATTACAGACTTCATTCTTTTCTGAAAACTTGCTCTTAGGTTTTAAAGAAGTCTGCAGGGATGTTTTTCCACACCTTGAAAGTTCAGTCTTAGAAGTTCTTCTTCTCACAGTCCAAGTAATCTCAAACACATTCAGTGATGTTGAGGTCTGGACTCTGGGGTGATCAGTCCCTTGTTCTGAGAGCATCAGCAACATATTTTTGTTTAATCTGCAAATTTTCTGTTTTTTGTCTGTTTCCTTTTCTCATTAAGGGCTTCTTGACAGCTACACATCCTTTCAGACTCATAGCACTGAGTTGTCCTTTCACAGTGGAAGGATGGACAGAAACACCTGTAGATTTTTTCAGATCTGAAGCAAGAGTGGGGCTTGATGTTCTCCTCTCTCTCAAAGATGATATCTGATGTCACCAGTTTTGGTGGTCTCTATGTTTGTCAATCGTTTTTTAAACTCCAGTTTAGAAAAAAGACTGAAACATGAATAACATAACGGCTGTTTTGACTGGAACTTGATAGGGGAAGGGTGGTCTCTGACTTCTGCACAGTACTATATGTGAATGTCATGACTACACCAGCAACATATTTGATGACAATCTCTCGTCTTTCAGATGGTCCTGAATTCAACTGTTCTTCAGTGTATGAGAGCAGAGAACACACACTCTTCTTAGCAGATTGCACAGTTATGGCTTCTCCTGTAGCTAATGTCTCCTGGTCCAGAGATGGAAGAAACGTGGAACGTCCACACAACCTCACCAGGAGAGAAAACGGCTTATACAACATAACTGCACAGAACAAGCATGGAACTAAACATCACCTCTTGACCATTAATGTTCTGTGTAAGTCATTGTCCTGTAACATTTTCTGAAAATGATATTTCAAAAGTCAGAATAACGTTAATCAACAGAGCAAAATTTGATTCATCTTGCAACAACAAGACATGATGTTTTCAGAGACCACAAATAAAACTTTATAACTTCTTGAATTTGGATAACTTTTTAAAGCCTGTTTTTCAAATAGGCTGTTTTTTTTGGTCATGTTCTAATTTAGTCTAATTCATGGCCTCGAATTAGAGATGTGTTTTTATAATATGTTACACATGGATTTTTTCTACAGATGGTCCAGAAATAGAGTCAGGAGATGAGTCAGTAGAGGTGTATAAAGGCAGGGATGTGACTCTGCGCTGCACTGCTGAAGGGAATCCAGAGCCTAACATAACATGGAGCTTCAACAATCAGTCTAAGACCACTGGAGGGAGACAGACAACACTGACAATTTCTGGAGCCACGTTTGCTGATGGTGGGTTGTATACGTGCACTGCCACAAATACAATCGGGAGCCAGACAAGGACAGTGTTATTGGTGGTACAAGGTAGGCATCTCATCACTGGTGTGAATGTGGGCTGTAGCTCATATTCTCTTCATATCATATGTAATCAAGGAGACAAAAGAACAGTAAGAGATTGATTTAATTGAAGCATAGTATGTAGAGTCCAAAAATGACTATACTTCTCTATTTTTAACACATTCAACAAATGTTTCTAGTCTAAAATTGCTATTTACTGTTTAGATTGATCTCTGTTATTCTGTCTGTGCTGTCGTCAGTTAGATTACCTGTGTTTCTCTGTCTGAGATCAATAGAAACATAAATAGAAACTTATATAAATAGTAAAACATATCACTACCCACAACATACATACATCATCTAAACCACTTATCCTTCTGGGTCACCGTGGGGCACTGGAGCCTATCCCAACTGTCATTGGACGGAAGGCAGGATACACCCTGGACAGGTCGCCAGTCCATCGCAGGGCAGACAGACAGACATATTCACACACAGGAACAATTTAGCATGTCCAATTAGTTTAACTGCATGTTTTTGGACTGTGGGAGGAAACCCACGCAGACACAGGGAGAACAGGCAAACTCCACACAGAAATGACCCTGGCCGCCCGGCCGGGAATCAAACCCAGGCCATTCTCGCTGTGAGGCGACAGCACTACCCACTGCGCCACCGTGCTGCCCACTACCCACAACATTCAAACATTTTTTAATCATGTTGTTTTACCACTGACCACTGACAAAATAAAAAATAAATAAATCAAAATAAAATTTCCTAAACAGAATGGCAACTCAGCATACAGAACTGTGAAAAAATACTAGATCACCCTTCATTTAATTTCCAATCAAAACAGCAATTAAACATGTTATTCATTTTTCAGAAAACATACATCTATCATAAAATTATGGGAGCCTCAACAACTAAATCTAATTTTTTTCAGTTTTAGTGTGCCTTTATTACAGACTTCATTCTTTTCTGAAAACTTGCTCTTAGGTTTTAAAGAAGTCTGCAGGGATGTTTTTCCACACCTTGAAAGTTCAGTCTTAGAAGTTCTTCTTCTCACAGTCCAAGTAATCTCAAACACATTCAGTGATGTTGAGGTCTGGACTCTGGGGTGATCAGTCCCTTGTTCTGAGAGCATCAGCAACATATTTTTGTTTAATCTGCAAATTTTCTGTTTTTTGTCTGTTTCCTTTTCTCATTAAGGGCTTCTTGACAGCTACACATCCTTTCAGACTCATAGCACTGAGTTGTCCTTTCACAGTGGAAGGATGGACAGAAACACCTGTAGATTTTTTCAGATCTGAAGCAAGAGTGGGGCTTGATGTTCTCCTCTCTCTCAAAGATGATATCTGATGTCACCAGTTTTGGTGGTCTCTATATTTGTCAATCGTTTTTTAAACTCCAGTTTAGAAAAAAGACTGAAACATGAATAACATAACGGCTGTTTTGACTGGAACTTGATAGGGGAAGGGTGGTCTCTGACTTCTGCACAGTACTATATGTGAACGTCATGACTACATCAGCAACATATTTGATGACAATCTCTCGTCTTTCAGATGGTCCTGAATTCAACTGTCCTTCAGTGTATGAGAGCAGAGAACACACACTCTTCTTAGCAGATTGCACAGTTATGGCTTCTCCTGTAGCTAATGTCTCCTGGTCCAGAGATGGAAGAAACGTGGAACGTCCACACAACCTCACCAGGAGAGAAAACGGCTTATACAACATAACTGCACAGAACAAGCATGGAACTAAACATCACCTCTTGACCATTAATGTTCTGTGTAAGTCATTGTCCTGTAACATTTTCTGAAAATGATATGTCAAAAGTCTGAATAACGTTAATCAACAGAGCAAAATATGATTCATCTTGCAACAACAAGACATGATGTCTTCAGAGACCACAAATAAAACTTTGCAACATGTTGAATTTGGATAACTTTTTAAAGCCTGTTTTTCAAATAGGCTGTTTTTTTTGGTCATGTTCTAATTTAGTCTAGTTCATGGCCTCGAATTAGAGATGTGTTTTTATAATATGTTACACATGGATTTTTTCTACAGATGGTCCAGAAATAGAGTCAGGAGATGAGTCAGTAGAGGTGTATAAAGGCAGGGATGTGACTCTGCGCTGCACTGCTGAAGGGAATCCAGAGCCTAACATAACATGGAGCTTCAACAATCAGTCTAAGACCACTGGAGGGAGACAGACAACACTGACGATTTCTGGAGCCACGTTTGCTGATAGTGGGTTGTATACGTGCACTGCCACAAATACAATCGGGAGCCAGACAAGGACAGTGTTATTGGTGGTACAAGGTAAGCATCTCATCACTGGTGTGAATGTGGGCTGTAGCTCATATTCTCTTCATATCAAATGTAATCAAGGAGACAAAAGAACGCTAAGAGTTTGATTTAATTGAAGCATAGTATGTAGAGTCCAAAAATGCCTATACTTCTCTATTTATAACACATTCAACAAATGTTTCTAGTCTAAAATTGCTATTTACTGTTTAGATTGATCTCTGTTATTCTGTCTGTGCTGTCGTCAGTTAGATTACCTGTGTTTCTCTGTCTGAGATCAATAGAAACATAAATAGAAACTTATATAAATAGTAAAACATATCACTACCCACAACATTCAAACATTTTTTAATCAGGTTGTTTTACCACTGACCAAAGACAAAATAAAAAATATATATATCGAAATAAAATTTCCTAAACAGAACTTGCCTTGGCCATACAGTTAAAACTAGAAAACACTTGAACTGGTGTAGAACCTTCTGAAGAATGTACAGGTTCTTTGTGCTTTAAAAAATGTTTCTTTAAAGAACCATCCATTGAAAAGATCTAGGGTTCTTATACAGCATCGCTACAAAGAGCCCTTTTGGTTTAATTTGGCACTTTTATTTTTTGACCGTAAGAGGTTTTAATAGCAATTTTGTGGCGTTGTTCCACGTGAAATACTTTGGGACAGAAAACTGGAAATAAATATATTTTTGCAAAAAAAAAAAAGATTATTGGGATTATTTTTTTAAATGGCAGTACACTTCTGTCGCCCACCATGTAAATATGCAAAGAATAAGAAACTATACATTGGAATTTAGTATCTCTTAATTAGCAATCTTGTATAAACCGCTCCTCAAATAAGTTCCTGATTTGAGTCCTAGTTCAAAAGATTTGTGAGAATTAAAGAGTCTTCATAAATGAGTTTTGGTTTTATATCGATATACCACAAATAAGATAACACAACATACAAACAGTGCAAACCACGCTAACATTAGCCTGTTTTTGTAGTGTTTCAGTCTTGTTTCATATGAAAATACGACAGCCAGACGGACCAGAAAAACTAGACCAGAAACCAGACAGGTGAAAAAAGACCGTGTTTCCTAACTCACTCCTCTGGGATCCTCAGCCAGTCTACAATTTTGCTATATACCAGTGTCCAGCTAATCAGTTGGAATGTGGAGAGGCTTGGGAAATGGGGCATATAAGCATTTTGCTACATCATGCCAATAACCCGAGACCAGTGCAAACTCGAACTTCAGGTTACTATTTACAGGGAGTTGTTGAGTCTTAGTTGTTGAGTTTGAGACATAATACTTACTTACTTACTGTCCTCAATCAAACATTTTGGTGGATAAAATATCAAATCTATCTTCCTACAGAGATTCCAGACAGGGTGTCCATCAGCACTGTGGGTCACACTGGGGCGATGACTGAGGGTGGAAAGTATGATCTCCAGTGTGAGGTTCAGAAAGCTTCTCCTGTTGAGTTCCTCACTGTGAGCTGGCTCAAAGGAGACACTCTCGTGAAAAGTAAAAACTTTACTAACTCCACCAAGACTCCTGAGAATGTGTTTGATACACTCCAGATCTCCCCCAGCAGAGATGATGATGGAGCTCAGTACAGGTGTGAAGCAGAACTGGATCTGGGACCAGATAGACCTCAACCTCCTCTTAAAGTGACATCAGATCCCCTCACAATTACAGTAGAGTGTAAGTTTTTCACAGGTTGTTTTATGATACCTGCCTCCTTCCCTTTTCAGCTTAAACAAGATGCTATGTTTATATCGTTAATCAATAATTTTATGACTACATCACCATTGCAGTTGATTTTGATAGCAACCGGTCATTTTCCTAAATCTGAATATCGACCAGTCTGCACATGGAGAGGACATAGCCTTATTTGAATATGTACATTCATGGTTTCTCCTGTAGCTATTTTTTTCCTGTACATATATGAAAAAAGTTGGCTGTCCTGCAGTTTAATCCCTGAAAGTATAACGAGCTAATAATTTAAAGGAGAAATGTACAGAAAAAAATATCTTTGTAAAGTAAAAGAGTTTACAGGGCAAAAATTACCTAGCAGTTTGTGCCATAGTAAAACCTATCCTGGCATTAAAAAGCAGCCTTTGATTTACTAAATAGGCACAACAGCCCTTCATTGTGCATATTAAGACAAAAAGAGGCGCTGCTGTTTTGTGGAGTTTTCAAAGTGCAAAATATTGGGAGGAGATTATTATAATGAACCACCTTATCATAGATGACAGTAAATACTTTGTAGGAACCATTTAACACCTGTGAAAGCTTGTCTTATTTTTGCCAATAACATAAAAGCACAGATCTCAATTTCAGCTTATCCATATAGTTAAACTTTCTTGAGGAGTAAAAATTACAGGGAGATTCACTCGAAAGAGGCCCCAAATATTCTGTAATAACTCTCGCTTGGATGAAGCAATCTGAACAAAACAGTGTGCAATGTGCTCCTCAGTATATGGAGCTTCGAATAAGCCGGGATACCCCTGCGTTGGAGCGATGAGGTAGGCACCAGACAGCCTCGCAACATTTAACCTCCGTTTGCACTATCCGGGTTCATTCCCCCGCACCCCTTCACTCAGTCACTCGACTTCTCATCAGGATGGTGTACAGTATTGAGCAGCGCATCAAGGCATGTAGCGTATTTTTTGGTTCAGATTGCTTCATCATAACGGGAGTTGCAACAGAATATTCGGGGCCTCTTTTGACTGAATCTCCCTGTACTTTTTTTTGACATAATCATTGTTTAGAATTGGTAAGACAATATCTTGAGATATGTCATTACTCCAAACTAGTCAGTCACAATCAGGACCAAAATCAGAGAAGAATAAAAAAAGCCTTATACAAAAGCACAGAGCCAAACAGCAGGTTATATTGTATGGAAATTCTTGATAGATAACCCCCCACAAAACTGGCCACCCACCAGCACAAATTGTCTCTATACTGGCAGTAATTAGCATCTCTTTTAGTGAATCTGCTCCTAAGTGTTAATATGTCAATAAGCAGTTTAGCAAAAGATTAAGCATGTACACTTTACAAAAATAGTTCTAGGCTACTGGCCGTAGGCCTCCTTGTCCAAACTTTACAGTGGGCACTATGCATTTGGACAGGTAGCGTACTCCTGCATTTGGCAAGCCCAGATTTGTCCATCACACTGCCTGATGAAGCATGATTCATCACTCCCGAGAACGCATTTCCACTGCTCCAGAGTCCAAGGGCCATATGCTTGGCATTGCACATGGTGATCTTAGACTTTTGTGTCGCTGCTCAGCCACCATGTTCATCATGGATACCCAATTAATGAAGCTCCCAGCCAACAGTTCTTGTGTTGACGTTTTTTCCAGAGGCACTTGGTGAGCTTGTGTGGCATGCTGCTTCGTGGCTGAGCTGTTGTTGCTCTTAGATGGTTCCACTTCACAATAACAGCACTTATTGCTGACTAGGGCAGCTCTAGCAGGGCAGATATTTGATGAGCTGACTTGTAACAGTGGCATCATATGACAGTCGCTGAGCTCTTCAGTACACCTCATTCTACTGCGAATGTTTGTCCATGGAGATTGCATGACTGTATACTTGATTTTATGCACTTGGTAGCAGTGGGTGTGACTGAAATAGTGTAACGCACTTATTAGATGGGGAGTCCACATACTTCTGGCCATGTAGTGTGGTTCCTAGAACATGACAATGAATATCAGTGGCCTGCAGTCCCCAGCTGCGGTCTGTGCAGCCATCCAGTTTGCAGCAACTGTGCAATGCCATCATTTCGGCATGAAACAACATTCATGCAGAGCACATCCAGCATGTTGGAGAATCCACACCCAGCCGAGTTCATGCTGCAATGTATAAATTACTTGACTTGTGTAGGAGGACTTGAAGTCAGCTATGGCAACGTTAATGGTTTCCCAACTCAATTTAATGAGAGCTGTGTAAATCTACATGGTCTTTTAGAAGATAAACACATTTTAATCACGTTTTGTCAGGAGGTGTGTCTTGGTGTGGGCGTGTCCTACAGTAGGTGTATTCTGTAGTGAGTGTGTTGTAATGGAAGTGTGTTGTAGTGGGGAGTGTGTAGTAGTCTTGCGGAATGCAGATATAACTTCTTATTAGGTAAAGCTATTAAAACAGATTGATGTAGATTCATTGTGCAATAAGCATGTCTTCTGAATGCTGATGAATGATGATCTGTTTTTGCAGATCCTTGTCCCCTTACTCTTCAGCCTCCTAAAGTGATGGTTGAATATGGAGGTTCAGCCTCAGCAAACTGTTCCACTTCTGTTGACCATGTGGGAATGGGCTGGGAGGCCTCTCAGGGACCAGTGGACATGCAGGATGATGTCCAGTTAGTCACCTGGAATGTGGACAGGCTTGTGGAGTGGGGCATAAAACCATTTTGCTTCATGAATCCTAATCCAGAAAAGCAGTGCAAAGTTGATCTCCACGTCACTATTTACAGTGAGTCGTTGTCTCACCTGTTTGCTTTCAGATATATTACTTATTCACTCTCCTTAATTAAACATTTATGTGGATAAAATCTCAAATCTTTTCCTACAGAGACTCCAGACAGGGTGTCCATCAGCACTGTGGGTCACACTGGGCCGATGATTGAGGGTGGACAGTATGAGCTCCAGTGTGACATTGAGAATGTTGCTCCTGTTGAGTTCCTCACTGTGAGCTGGTTCAAAGGAGACACTCTAGTGGATAAGGAAATCTTCAATAACCCCATTAAGACTCCAGTGAATCTGTCAGATACACTCCAGATTTCCACCAGCAGAGATGATGATGGAGTTCAGTACAGGTGTGAAGCAGAACTGGATCTGGGACCTGAAGGACCTCAACCTCCTCCTAGAGTGACATCAGAGCCCCTCAACATTACAGTACACTGTAAGTTTCCCACAGACAGTTTAGTTCCTGTACACTTCACATAATATATTTCAGAGTTGCATGAATTTATGTTGCATGGTGCATCATTTCAGCCTAAAGCAAAGGCTATTTCCCTCTTACATTGTAGGATATTAATTCCTTAAATGTGTAATTATCTAATTATATTTTTCCATTCATTTACTCATTTTTTCCTTCATTTTGTCATCCACCTTTATGTACAGTATAGCATATTTCAATACTGCATGTCTTTTCCTCTTTATAACCTAACCCAGCAGCGTTTTCTTTATTCTGTTTTATGTCTACTTTTCAGACAAGCCTGTAACACATTGTTCAGAGTGGTCTCCACTAATAAACAGCAAACTGAGCTCATATCCTTATGCTGTTAAGGGCAACCCGCTCCCTGTTGTCCACTGGTTTCAAGGACAGTCACAGGTCAAACCCACTAAGCGTCTTAGCCAAAATGACTCTGGACAGTATAATTTCACTGCAATGAATATCATAGGCAGCACATCCTGTGTCATCAAGATCACAGTAGAGTGTGAGTGGAAAAACTCTATTGCTATCTAGACTATTATGTGTATATCATCAATCAGTCATTTGACAACTTCACCAGTCTTGCTGCTATTATTGACGGTAACCTCTCTTCTTTCAGATGGTCCTAAGTTTGACTGTCCTCAAAGCTATGAGGACAGGGAACACACAGTCTTCTTAGAAATTTGCAAAGTTATGGCTTCTCCCTTAGCTGATGTCACCTGGTACAAAGACAGAGAAAAGGTGAAACCCCCACACAATCTCACAAGGAGAGATAATGGCTCATACAGCATAACTGCACAGAACAAACACGGAACTGAGCATCACCATCTGACTATTAATGTTCTATGTAAGTTACTGTTCTTTTACAAGTTGTACGTCATATGAAATATAATGGACATGGTAAAACCTTTGTCACTATTCAAATGTCTGGAACCACTTATCATATTAATAATTGTTATTCAATAAGAGTGAAGGTGACTTAACCACTGTGAGGAAGTACTGACTGACATTTGTTTCTGGCTAGAAGCTACTGTGCATGGCAAATGGCAAATTCTTAAGCTTTTAATAGTCAAAGAAACTTAGAGCTTTCAGTGTTTAAATCTTTAAATGTGGAGGTCTTGTGGGTAAACTTGCAGTGTTTTACAGAAAGAAGAGTCAGTATTGATGGCTCAGCATTTTGTGTTTAATGTAAGACCAAATATTTTCTGTAGGGTTTAAAATCTGGACTCTGGCCAGCCTGAAACCATCAGTAAAAACTGTCATTTCTTTTTTTTTGCACGAAAGAGAATGCATGAAATTTATGTAGGCATATTTAAAAGAAAAAAAAAATCACTTATCAGACAATAAACCCAAGTCTGAGTCCTGTGTTGTATGTGAAAAATCAGTTCAAATCTCAGAATTTTCTGTGGCACAATTTGGCTTGGGTTGAGTTCTAATCTCTAATCTCTTATTCCAGATGATAAATGTTATAAGTTATCGATATATAGCTTTAGTTTGTATGGATTTGTTATCTACATCTCATCATTATTATTATTGGACCTGTAGGATGTTAGCCCTTCATCAAATTTGTTTTATTTGATTGAAAACAACTGACTCCAAACTGAACAGTTATTACAAACTTTTAAACAGTAGTATATACAATCGTATGCAATCATGGTTTCTCCTGTAGCTATTTTTTTCCCGTACATATATGAAAAAAGTTGGCTGTCCTGCAGTTTAATCGCTGAAAGTATAATGAGCTATGTTGAACTCAGGATATAAATAGAAATTGTGCGCTACTCAATAAACATGCAGACAAATACCATATTTCAGTCTGTTCCCTGACTGGGGGTCTTCAAACTTTTGGATATGACTGCATACAAAAAAAAGATAGCGGGACTATATAAGCAGATTAAAACCTAAACGTATTTATTACCATATTGCATCATGGTACAGTGAGACATCTCTGAATCCCAGCTTTGATTTCATTGGCAATTAATCTAATCAATTTCTGTTTCTAACATTTGGTCTCTGCTTGCTTTTCCCCCGATTTGTGTCTTTTCAAAAACAACTGTGACAGGAGGTATAGCATTATAAATGCATATACTATTGTGAGGCTGTGAAATGAATTTTACCATATTGGAGATTACCATATTGTGATAAGACAAAAAATGGAGTCAAACAGCTCGGATCATTTTTATAAACTAAATGAAAACGTTTAGTTAAACTGAAATTAAAATGGACCTTTTTTACCTTGTTAGTTCATGTTCCTGGTCATATTAAGCACAATTCATCATGTAATTTACTATTTGAAAGACAAAACTGCTGTTTTCCTGTAGTCGCCCATCGTCCAAAATGTAACGTAATAGTCAGTTGTCCAAAATATAATAACTTATGCCACCTCATAAACATATTCTGATTTTTGATCACACCACCTTGCACCAGGGAAATTAATATAAATATCATAATATCATGTTTATAATATCATGTTTCACCTCCGCCTTCCAACACCCCCAACTATGATGGAGAAAAAACGCTCAGCTAACTCAGGAACCCTCCATAAAACCAGCAACACCTCTCAGAAATACATCACGGTACAGAAGGAAAATGTATTATGAATTCTTATTCACCTTGACTTTAAGCTTGTGTCATTTATTGACTTTAAAGCGCTTAAAATGACTAATAATAATAATAATAATAATAATACTTTTTTGATCTATCATAATATCATATTGTCTAGCCAGTGGACAATGTTGTGATATAATGTGGCTTCCTAACACCCACCCTACATGATTCTAATACAGTTCCTATTTAGTTACATCTACATCTTATAAGACATACAGTACTGTGCAAACACCATCCACCATTTAATTTCCAGTTAAACCACCCATGCATTATGTTACTTATTAATTTAGTGTGGGAAGCAGGACAAATATATTTAACAGAGTGCACTAAATCAGTCAGTATTTCATTTGTCTACTCTTTTTTTTTTTGTTCCTACTGTTACGACCTCAACAGCATCCAACTGCCAGACCAAGACAACACCAACTACAAATAATGGACCAATTATCAGCATTTATTTTCTTTTAACTTGTACAAGTTAAAGGCACCATCTTGAAAATAAAAAAGGTACTTAGTCAGTAAATCTAGCTTTAAACTGGTCAAGCGCACGTGAGCTTATTGAAGGGAAACCTTCAGCGGGTGAGCCAATGCCAAAAACAAACTAGAAACCAAAAGATAACTAAACTCATCTAACACAAAACAAAATTACAATTGTAAACCTACCTTCCTGTCCCAAACCAGGAGGAAACAATATACAAAAGAAAACAGGGCACTCACCCCCCTACTTACAAAGAGAGAACTTTACAAGTACTTAGACAAACTCATACAACAGGCTAACACAGTTAGCAGAGCCTTCCAGCTGATAACCCTAGGGAAAAAAGTGATTACTAGAGAAAGAATAATAGAGAAAGAAAAGGCACAAAATAAACACCACATACCCCCAGGATCGTAACAGTACTTCCACTTAAACTCTTCCATTCTTTCAATCTTAAACCCAGCCAGTTACAGCTGCGTCCTCCCAACAAAACCTGCTATCAAAGACTTCATTGATAATATGTTTTTCTTCAAAGAGACAAACATTCATACAAGCAGCTACACACTCACCTCAGTTTCCTTCGCATTTCTTTCATGTGCTTCTAAAATGGCTAAAGAAGGTATTACTGAGGAGATAAGATAAAATAATCCACTTGCATAAGCAAGGAGAAAGTCAAGACCTGGTAGACCAACAAAACAGCCCCCATCAGATAAACAACACTTAAAGCTTTCATCTATGATAGAGAGGGGAAAATCAAGCTGCTTCAGATCTGAAACAATCCACAGGGGTTTCTGTCCATCGTTCGGCTGTGCGAAGACAACTCGAAGCTTTGAGTCTGAAAGGATGTGTAGCTGTCAAGAAGCCCTTAATGAGAAAAGGAAATTGAAAAAAAAAAGAAAAGAAATGCACTAGAATGCAGAAATGGGACATCTGAGATGAAGAGTAATATTTAGTTATATGGACTAATTAGTCAACATTCGTGATCACTTGGAATAAGAGAAGCAGAAAATAGATCCAACTTTTAAGACTGAATTTTGGAGGTGTGGAAAAATATCCCTGCAGATTTCTTTCAAATACTGAAATGAGTCCCATGAAAAGAATGGAAGCTGTAATAAAGGCAAAGCGTGGACACACTAAATGCTGAAAAAATGATATTATATTTGGCGTCTGTGTAATCTTTTTGTCATATTTTCTACTTTTCCTACTTTTTTTCAGATGGTCCAGAAATAAAGTCAGGAGACGGGTCAGTAGAGGTGTATGTAGGCAGGGATGTGACTCTGTCCTGCATTGCTGAGGGGATTCCAGAGCCTAAAGTCAAGTGGAGCTTCAACAATCAGTCTAAGACCACTGGAGGGAGACAGACGACACTGGCGATTTCTGGAGCCACGTTTGCTGATGGTGGGTTGTATACGTGCACTGCCACGAATAAAATTGGGAGCCAGACAAGGAGAGTCTTATTGGTGGTACAAGGTAGGCATCTCATCACTGATGTGAATGTGGGCTGTAGCTCATATTCTCTTCACAATCATATGTAATCAAGGAGACAAAAGAACGCTAAGAGTTTGATTTAATTGAAGCATAGTATGTAGAATCCAAAAATGACTGTATACTAATCTGCTTTTCTCGCTTTCTTTTTTTTAGATAACAAATTTCCACTTCCGCTAGCTATCATAATTGCTTTGAGTATCCTTTTTATAGTCATTTGTATTCTCATCATATTTGCTTGTATCAAGAGGAAACGATCTGGGAGATACGATGTACAGTGCAATGATAAGGCAACTGAAATGATGCCACTGAGTAAAAATACCAATTGATAAATGGTATCTGGTATGAGCAAAGCAGAAAATGGATACCCCCTGTGATTATAAAACAACAGTGTGGAGTTGGACTTGATCTGCTAGAAATCTAACAGTGAAGGATGAAGCTTGTACTCGATATTGCAAGGACTGCTCACCACAAGCGTCAATAAATATATTGTTGGGCTTTGTTTATGATATCAGTTTTATCTATACTGGAATACAAATAAATATTTTTTGAGCTTTGGAAGCGTCTGAAAGGTACTGCCATATAGTATGTATTCACAGTACTGCCCTGCTTTAATATGAGTAGCTGCAATAGTTTTGTTTAACACAGTACAATAGAACAAATGTATTAATGTCTGCTATTTTTACACCAGTAATCTCTCAAGCTTTATCTCATTAGTAGGGCTGGGACCACATATCACTTCACTGATAATTATCAGTAATAGCCATGAAAGTAGAAAGGAATTTGGATATTCTTAACCAGCACAAATCAAATAAAATGTATTCCCAACTTACTCTATTTTCAGATTAACTAGGACTCTGTTGTTTATCTGTGTGTGAAATGTTGTGTTGAGCTGCTAGTGAGCAAAGAAGGGTGAAAGAGGAGGGCTGAGAACCTCCTGCTGTGCAATTCACACCTCTCCCCAAAGATGTCTGTGCCGTTATAAAACGGACAGCAGAACTGCAGCTTTCACAATGAAAAAGTAACTTTTAAACAAAATAAAACACTTTTTAAAATGTTGACTTGCACACTCACTTACAAAGAAGAAAATCTGATTCGCTTCTGGTTTTGTAAATCATACAAATTTGCATCTAAATATATTCCATCAAAAATGCATAGTTCAACTCCTTCCAAACATTCAGAAATTACATTTTATGACTACTGGGAAAAGGATTTATTCATTGTAAGGTCTTTTTTTACAGATTTTTACAGAGTTAACACATTGAAACCTTCACATCAAGTCTGATGCACTTTTTTATTTCCTTTAATACTGTAACAGCGACCAAGCTATCATTTTTCCTTCAGCCAGAGCGACTCAAAAACGCAGATACTGCAGCCCATTCCGCTAAAAAAGTCATAAACAGCATGAGGAGATCCACTGAAGCTCTGTAGCAGCGCCCTAAGTGTGTGTGGAGTTTGAAGCATTGCACCAGCTCAGAACTCCCAGCATTAAAAGGAGCAAAGAAGCTATAAAAGTTAATGTGTAGGTTTAAAAAAAAACATGGAAGCTTTTTTTTTCTGTAAAACACTCGGCATGAAAATGCCTTAAGGCTTTGTCGCCCCCCTCTGGCACAAATGGTAACTATCCAACATATACTGACTCTGTAACCAAAATCTACTCATGGAATTAAATAATAAAAATATTCATATTTATTGATACTCAGGACGTATTGAATTTTTATAATGCTTATTGTCCCAGCCCTACTCATCAGAATGTATAATGCCTTTTAGACCATGGGTAAGCTGTGTGATGTTAGTTATATTTTATATGATATTATTTAATACAGACTGTCTTTGACTGTACTTCGACTTTGTGTTGTCATTCACGTGTTCTGTGTCTCAATGTCTATGTCAAGAAAGGGTACAATGTAGCCTGTTTCATTCTAGAAATTATCTGTTGATAAAATGATGCACATATTTTATGGGCTTGGAGCATCCTTACCTCTCTCCAACTGACCTGACATCTTGGTGAGAGTACTATACACAACAAATGGAGTACTACATGCTACTCTTATTCACAATGGTAGTATGTAACGTTCTCTAGGCTTACTTAGTATGTTAGCAATGCATGACTGTGGATTTTCTGAAGTCAATAGAGTCGACTTATCATCTTCACTTAACCAAGACAGCATCAGAGCCACTGATGAAGGGATGTGGACAAAAAGTATGTGGACACACCTCCTAGTTACTGAATTCAGGTGTTTCAGCCATACCCACTGCTAACAGGTGCATAAAATCAAGCACATAGCCATGCAATCTCTGTAGACAAATGGTAGAATGGGTCGTACTGAAGAGCTCAGTGACTTTAAATGTCTAACTATCATAGAATGCCATGTTTGCCAGGCAGTCTGTGAAATTCCTGCTTCGCATCTGCCACGGTCAACTGTAAGTGCTGTTATTGTGAAATGTAAGCATCTAGGAGCATCAACAGCTCAGCCACGAAGCGGTAGACCACGCAAACTCAAACAGCAGTGCCACCGAGTGCTGAAGCATGTAGCACATAAAAAAAAATCTCCTAACCATTGTTGCATCAGTCACTACAGAGTCCCAAACTGCCTCTGGAAGCAACATAAGTGCAGGAACTGTGTTAGGAGCTTCAAGAAATGGGTTTCCATGGCCAAGCAGCAGTACACATGCCTAAAGATCACTATGTGCAATGCCAAGTGTCGGCTGGAGGGGTGTAAACATGTTGCCACTGGACTGTGGAGCAGTGAAAACATTCTCTGGAGTGATGAATCACGCTTCACTAAATCTGGGCGTGGTGGGTGCTAGAAGAACGCTACCTACCGGAATGCATAGCGCAAACAGTAAAGTTCGGTGCAGGAGGGATGATGGTCTGGGTCTGTTTAAGTTTGCTTAGTTCCAGTGAAGGGTTATGTTAATGCTACAACATACAAATACATTTTCCCATGTTTAAGTTTTGTGGCAACAGTTTGGGGAAGACCCTTTTCTTTTCCACCGTGCCTGTGCCCCTGTGCACAAAGCAAGGTCCTTAAAGATATGGTTTAATGGGTTTAGTGTGGAGGAACTACAGCGGCCTGCACAGGGCTGATCCTTATTGAAACCACTGGGATGAACTGGAATGTTGATTGCAAGCTAGACCTTCTCGTCCAACATCAGTGCCTGACCTCACGAATGCTCTTTTGTCTGTAGGACCACAAAATCACCCACTTCCGAAATCTTGTGGAAAGCCATTTCATAGGAGTGGAGGCTGTTATAACTGCAATGGGGGGCCAAGTTCATAATAATGCCTACACTTTTTGAATATGATGTCCAACAAGCTCATATAGGTGTGATAAACATACTTTGGGTCATTTACCCACTTTTTGAGTAGATCATAGTGAGATGATAAAAAATTGTAATTACACCAGGTTGTCCCACAAATGTCCCTCAAACTAATTATGGTTAAAAAAAAAACAAAAACAGAAAATGAAGAGTTGGAACAGGCGAAGGGTCGAGTCCAAACATTGTGACTCTTAGAGTTGCTGGCCAAGGGTTGCCCCCAACTCCCTCATGCGTCAGTTGAAGAACTGACTCTTTTGAAGTCGACCCATCATGTCTAATATAACTATGGCATTCGAGGGAGTGTGGGACTTGTGATTGCAGATAACAGATTACAGATTACACAGCTTCTTGGTCTGACAAACCTCACGCGATAATCATCCTGACTGCATCTTATGCTTTGTCATATCAGCCCAAAAGTATATATATATTAAATGTTCTATTAATAAAATTAGCAACCATCTTCTCAAATGTGACTTCTTTATTTATAGAATAAGGGGCTGAATAGTGTCCATTTTCACAGACTGCAACATTTCTGTACATCTTGTCTATAATTTGATGAATGCTTTTGGAATGGTAGAGGGAAAAAAAGCCCCAAATGTACATGCAAAAGAAACTACAAAATGCTGTAACCAAAAATAAAATAAAAATATTTTAAAAATATATAATATTACAATATAATATAATAACATTACAACAGAAAATCTATTTCTAAAAATTTTACTAAAAACAATAGAAATATTTCATGTAAATACATTTCCAGAAAAGCACAAGATCACAAGTTAACCATGTACACTAATCATATGCACTTTCACTTTGGTGTCAGGTGGGTGGGTGGGGGTTGGTTAGGTATTTCTTAGTATTTTTAAATATTTAAAATTATGTAAAAAAACATAATTATTAAGTATTCTGATACAAAATGCTTACCAACCTTTGCTAATAGCATTTTCTATTTCAAACACAAAGTACTGTTCAAAAGTTTGGAATCAATAATATAAATCCAGTATTAATAATATATAACTAGTTTTCAATAAAAATAAACCCAGTATGGTGGCATGCACGTATAAATGTGTAAAATTATTTTGGTCCTGTTCAACCTCAAGTTTATGTAATTACAAATGATTAGTAGAAAGCTGTAAAATAATAAAAATAATGATAAATTGAGGAATTTTAGATGTGGCCAGAATGATGAACAGAACTGTAGACGGTTCTAAAATGACTGCAAGAAGTTATTATTATTTTCATTATAAAAATACATCACATCGTGCAACAGATAACAAAAAATACTATTTAGATATTTACAGTAAATTATTTACCCTTGATAAATTTTAGAGTATTGAAGCTGTTTAGAGTATTGAAGCTGATGTTTTTTGTATATTATGTATCCTTGAATAACTTGTAATTGTTTCCAAAATAGGTTAAATATTGAATATCTAAAATCTAATCTAAAAGTATCTTTTGTTTTTAGTTTATATTATTGAAGCTGCACTGTATAAGATGTCTTTGTATCATATTTATCCTTGAATAACTTGTAATTGTTTCCAAAATAGGTTAAATATCGAATATCTAAAATCTAATCTAAAAGTATCTTTTGTTTTTAGTTTATATTATTGAAGTTGCATTGTATAAGATGTTTATGTACATAAAAGTATTTGAATGGTATATTTTTTTTTATTTCAGATGCATCAGAAACTCTGCCCATTCACTATAACCTTGCACTTTGAGTGAGTCTCACTTGAAGGGTTTCATGTGGGACGCATCTCTGGAAATGTGATCCGGCTCCTTTAAGACTTTAGGATTTGGGAGGGACGCGGATATGAAAGCTTAGTCGATCCCTTTGCCTTGCAACGAAAATTACTTGGACAACGGAAAGTAAGTTAGCCTGTTAGTTCGCTGTCGTGCGGATTCGTTTTCTAGTGTGTTATGCGTAACTTTAAGTGTCAGATGTAAGGTGTACTACTCGGTTTATGCCTTACCTTCGTGGCTCCCTGTTCTGCTGAGTTGGGATAACTTTTCAGCTGAGCTGCAGCGGCGGTTTGGGATCCGCTGATAAGAAGAAGGAGTCGACCATGGATTGGGGCACGGAGCTCTGGGTGAGTTTGGAGGCAATTCAGCTGAAAGAGGGAGCAGACGAAGGAAAAAAGAGCATACTTTAACTTACATTACTGGTATTATTTGGAGGCTTTGTTGTAGTGTAACGTTAGCTAACGGTAACCAGTGCATTTTATATTAGAATATAAAGAGTCTCTTATGTCGTGTTGCCTTTATTACAGTCGCACTGAGGAGAAAAAAAATCACCAGAACTTGAGCTCGTTTTTTGTATGTGTAACTGTTAGACAGTCCAAGTAGTAATATTTCACTAGAATTACCAGTTATTTTACTCAATAGCCAGTAACTTGGTGAATTTTCAGCAAGTCTGCTGAGTGTCATTTCAATAGCAGCCTCAAAACTGACTTCAAAATCTCTTGGAGTTAGCTACTGGCTAACACTAGTTAGCTCCGCCAGTTAGCAAAAACTTGAGAATGCGCCAAACGTTATAAAACGATATTTTTCTACATTTAAGTACGTTAACTAGATATATGTTAGGTTTAGTGAGGCTTTACCAGCTAATTTACTTGCAAAAGTGTAGGATGGCCGCTTTCTGCCTCCCTGGTTTTCACTTGGACCTCCGACGGAACGTTATAAATAGTTGGGATGCTTGACTGAGGATGTTAGCTAACTAACAAACTTGGCTAGCTGTTTTTCCACGAAGCTGGAGTCAGTTTATCAGTCGCCAGCTTCTTGTTCGAATTTTCCCGTTCCACCTTAAATGGTGCAACGGTTACATTCTGGCCTCAGGCGCCAGAATAGAACTGCTGCTCCATTTAAGGTGGAACGGGAAAAGTAGAACAAGAAGCTGCGAATAAGAAGCCAACTTCAGCCTCGTCTGTTTTTCGAGATTTTTACTTAACCTAGCTAGCTAAGCTACCTTATATACCTAGTTTACCTAGCTGCCGTTTGTATGTCATCGGTTTGTTGTTGTTGTTATTGTTTTTGTCGTCGTTTTTCAGAGCTGTGGCAAAAGTTAGGAATTCAGCTAATCCTGTTTGTTCGTTCTCTTGGCATTCTTGACGTTGTGGGCACTGAATTTTCTGTCTCTGGAGTCTTTTCTTGTCCCTTGAACACCTCCAGGATCTTTTTATGTCTTCCTAAAAATAAGATCTAAGACTTAAGATCCGTTTTTGGTGGCTTTGGTGTAGTTTATTGGGCTCAAAACAGGATTGGGCTTCATAATTAAGATTTCCTTCTGCGTCATGATTATTATTCAGTTGTTGCAGTTATTTTTAACGAATTAATCAATAGCAGCCTGTAGAGCTGGTAGTTTGTCACTGGACTGTGTAGGGGTTCACCAATATGGGGATTTAGCTTCTATAGCAGTGATCACCAAGCCTGCTCCTGGAGATCTACCTTCCTGCAGAATTCAGCTCCAGATCTAACATACCTGATCTAACTGATTAGGTAGAATGATTATCTGGATCACATGTCCAACCAACATTGGAAGTGATCTCTTTAGGAAGGTAGATCTCCGGAGCAGGGTTGTTGGCCATTGTTCTATAGCATTTCAAATGCAGTACAATAGAAAAGTAGCCCAGTGAGATGTTCTGTTATTCTGGAGTATAATAAAGATGTCCTCAGATATTGGTTTAAGATAAGATAAAATAACCCTTTATTAGTCCCACAGTGGGGAAATTCACAAAATATCGGTCAAATCTTAACATCTGTCTGATGCTGATACTTCTCAAGCGATTATCTGCCAACACAGATACTATTCTGATATCCTTGTATGTCCTTTGTGCTGTGATGTTCGTCCTGTATCAGTATTTTAGTGTCATCCCCCTTTTTACATTCACTCTATTTGAATTAGGTGTCTCTGTCACTCGTCCTATGGTCCTACAGGCACAACATGGTCAACCAAACCTGCTCCTGTCCGAGTGCCTGCAACAGTATGGAAATGGAGCATTACACAGAAGTGGGTGGGGATTTTCTGACCCCATTACGCTGGCTCCCTCTGGGCCTCTGTCCTCTGTCCCCTTTCCATCTTCTGGGCTACAGCAGCAGCCTAATTAGTTTTGCCCTAATTCGGTGGCACATCATCCAGTCCATGTCCCTGTGTTTATATTTGGTGTTGCACGGCACAAGGCAGTTTGCTGCTACCGAAACAGAGATTTGTGAATGGAGTCAGCTGGCCTGTCCAGTGAAGTTACACCAGAGTTGTACCTGTGAGATTCTACCATGCATCATCCCCATAGTGGACAGCAGAAGGAACTTAAAGGGCCCATATCATGTACAACAGAATGTAGGAATGTTTTTTTTTATAATAAGAGTTTGATTATAATATGTAAACACTGTTAAAGTTACAAAGATACGCTTCTGAATTCGGAAAATGGAAACTAAGCTGCGAAAACAGGACAGCTTGTTTTTGAAATAACTGTTTTTGTGATGTCACAACACTTGGAAATATACCATCTACTTAAAATTAAACATTTTAAATATTACCACTCTGAATGACTTTGATTACATCACAGTGATTGAATTATGCTGAAATTTTGAAATAAGTAGGTGTAATGTCTATTTAAATTTCCCGACTTTAAATTTAAGATGTTATTGAATAATGTAGGTTATAATCAATATTGCAGCTCTTGCAATTGCCCTCTTTCACATTGCATTCAGCTCTGAGTATACATCAGAAACAAAACTAAAAATACAAAAAAATCCAGGATATTAGCCCTTTAAGGAGTACTGGAGCACCTTCACAGCTTTTATTCCTGCATCTGGTGCGCTCCTCATAGCTGGAAGTTTTGGATGAGTCAGAGTGATATGAATCAGCCAAGGCAGAGACGAAAGGGAACGAGGAAAGGAGGCTGTTCTCATTAGTCTGGACTTGGTTTACGCCCTCTCTAAGCAACATCCAGCCTAATTGGTTTAGTTTGTGTTTAGTCATTAGGTGCCATTGACTTGAATACGCCACGGCATCTGTCCACTGCTTCCCTGTTAATCCACTCGCTATTTTTGGCAGGTTCCAGCTTGCTCTTCTGTTGTGTACAGTGTCTGTGTGAACTAGTGCACTGGTCCCGGAGAGCGTGCCAATATTTGCATGACTGTTTTCTACAAGGCTTTAAAAATGTAGCGCAGTAGGATTCATATTAAGTTGTTATAGCAGCATGACTAACAGAAGAGACATTTGCCAAGGACTTTGACTGGGATGATGTGTCCGACAAGGACTTGCTGAGCTACTTTTGTTTATTCTCTGCAGGCTCTGCTAGAGCAATTTGCTCTTTTCTCTGCTAGGGAGGGACAACCTAGTGACAATAACAGGGTAAAAGAAAATAAGGGGAGGGGTCAGGACCAAGCTGGACAATGCTAGAGATAAGAGGGCTTCTGTAATTAGGTTGTTTACGATAGGGTTTAAAAGTCTTGATTGAACTCTTGGAAGGCTGATGCTGTGTTGGTGTTAGTACTGTGGAAATCATCAAGTAAACCAGGATATGCTGCTTCATAACATGACCCAGTGACTGGCCTGGCCTCAAAATTTTTTCTTTCTCTCGCTTTCATTTTCCTTGTCGGTCTACAGAGTGGTTATTCTGTTGGGGTCGGTCATGCAAATTGCAGAATATTCTGTTAACATCCATCGTGTAAAGCAGACAAAATTTTTGATGTGTTTCAGCTTTGTTGCAGTGATCTTAGGAACTTATGTAAATACAGGCTGCCTTTGCTAAATATTTTGCTTTGTCATTTGACTCTGAGACAGTGAGTCAGATACTGTTTTTGCATTTTTTGTTCACTTTCCTTGTCAAACAACCAGAAATTTAGAAATTTGGCTGGACATTTGGTTTCTGGTTCAGAGGCCAGTTGCAGTTATTACCACCTGATTGCAGCATTTTTTTTTCCTAAGCTTGTATAGTCATGTTCATGTTGCAACAAACAGAATGGCACCATCATCAAACCTGCATAAAAAGAGCTGCGTTTGATTTCCTGTTATGACGTGCAAGCTATTCTGTGTGTGATTCATGAAACTTTTTTGTAAGATGGGGAAAAAAAGCAGAGATTTGAGGACGAATAATGAATCAGTGCTTCAGTGCGTGAAATCAAGCGCCAGTCTACCAGGACCTCATTTACTTAGCATTAACATGAAGCAGGACCTAGTTTATGGCTGATATTTTGGTAGGAAGCCAATAAAATGATCGCTTTTACAGCTCATGAGCCAATGGCTGTGCTCATAGGCGGAGTTTGAGGTCGAGCACTGAGTGCGTAGCTCCCCCTACTGACCAAACTTTTTGTTGTTAAAATTACAATGACTGAAAAGAATAAAATGTGAAATAAACAAAACATCTTTGTTTGTTTTTAATGGTAGAATGATGTGATTTGTGTAGTGAGATTGCTCTCCTAAAATAACATATTTAAATGCTGTTTTATTGCAGGGATGCTTCTGCTCAAGCTGTGTTTTGTGTTGTTTGCTTTGTGGGCAGTTTTAATAGTATAAATCAATAGGACAGTGTAATGTCTTTAAATGAAATACAGAATACTTTGCAGCATTTGTTTACACCAAATCAAGAATATCCACTTTTGTACTTGATTGCCATGTGCACAAATTATTAGTATTATTGTTATTGACTATTTTTATTCTTACTTTTGGAGTTATAGATATTGATGATAATAGTTTTGGTTTGACCGTACGAATATGCCAAAGAGGAAATTGATGAATAAAAAAACTGTGAAATTGGCATGCACTTATTTTACAACCAGATTTGACTACTTGCAGTTTTATAAGGATCGATGTGAACCAAAAGCGTTTTCATCTGCTGGGTTGGGGATCTGGTATCAGCTTCCGACACCCCGCCCACATGTAAATGTGGCATCTGATATTTTTGCACACTAAGTTGGCCACAACTATCACAATTCTGTCAGTGCCATTCTGATTGGCTACCTGGTTTGGCAGCTTTTATCAGTCTGATTGGGAAAAAAAAAACATAAATGCAAGTACCTGCCTGCTCGTTTGTTTCCAGTGAGTTTGTTTTGCTTGCAACCTCATTTTGAGAAATCGCCTGCCCCCTCAGTCAAACAGCCTTTCTTGACAAAGTAAGTGCTTCTTGGATGTGTTAAGCGACGAAATGCACCAGACTTTCTGACGATAGGCAGAAGTCTGGCTTGTGAGACAAGTTGGGAGCTACTATGAATCAACATCCAGGAGGCAAGATGGCTAATCAGGTGATTTGGCCGCTTATGGCTTGTTCTTTTACTAGCTGCATAAAATTAACAAAAAACACCATTAAGGTACTTAATTGTTGGATAAAATTTTGTAGTGATGTAGGTAATGAAGGCATATCAGTATCAGTGGGTGTCAGTGCTGATAACACTGTAATATATCTATCCTAAAATAAGTCACTCACACTGTGATGTGATATTGTTAGGTGTGTTTCTGTCGGGTAGCTTACTTTTAGATGCCCATCTTCAGGGAGGTGCTTCAGTCAGACATTAAAGCTCGTTTTAAAGATTGGTACGTTTTACCAATACTAGTATCTGCTGATACTCAGTGGTTCAATATTGGTATCAGAATAGAAAGAGTGGCCTTGTGGTATCTCTATTTCCTGGAGTTTGAGTTCATTATGGAAACCAGGGCTGCCCAAAGTACCCTTGTTACCCTGTCCTGACCCCCTCACCCAAACATATTTTTATACTTATGTGACTTTATTAAATTCATGGTTTTCTTTTAAAGGACCCATATAATGGAAAATCAGATTTCCTGCACCTTTTTAAAGATAAAAGTTAGTATATCTGCCCATTCAGGCTGAAGTTATAAGGAGTGTTTCAGCTTGGACTGCTTTTTGAAAATGGCACAGTACAGAGAAGCCAATCAGAACAGAGCTTCTTTACATACATCAAACTTGTAGGAAGAGTAACAAAAACAGCCTGTTTAATTCTACGGGATGATTATTATTGGTGAGTTTATGTAACAAATTGGTACATAAATTCACACAATCATTGTAAGTCGACCTCAAGGGAGATGAAGGAGGAAAATGTAGAGCCCTTTTAACTTGTATTTTTGAAGTGAGTTAGTCACAAAATGTAGTGTATAAAATCCATTTTTAAAAACTCGATTTGAAACCTTCATAGCTTCTTTATCTGTATATTCGTTTAGTCATTTTTGGCCCTCAGACCACCATTAATCAGTAGCACTGTTCTTCTCAGAAGCCTTTATAAACGTCGACTGGCTTTGCTACATGTGACTGTTGTTTTGAGTGAAGTCTAACTGTTTTCTTGCAAATGAGTGGGTTGTGTGTGGGCGATGAATTCTTTATTTGTTCAGTACTTATTGACTCCATTTTGAGATGTTGAGGAGGAGGAGTTAAGGACATGGACCAGCTTGTTTGGAATCTGGCCCTAAAGGGTCACCCCACGCCTCCTCCTACTGTAGCCAGGCCCTCGAAGGTGTGTGCTGTAAGGGTGGGAAGCATTTCTCGATATCATCACTCACACGCAGACATGCCTGTGCTTGAAGTGCTCACACACACACACAGCCTAGCCAAAAAAGGAACCGAAAAACAGGAGAGCTGGAGAGAAATGCCAGAGCAGTCCTCCTCGCTTTCAGCAGAGACTTTTTTTCTGCACAGAGGAGGAAAAGTGCTGACCAGTGTTTAACAAATTAGCTTGGTTTTTCCGGTGGGGTTTTGCTCAGTAGGAAATAACATGCCCTGCTATCTATCTATCTATCTATCTATCTATCTATCTGTGTGTGTGTGTGTGTGTGTGTATGTATGTATGTATGTATGTATATATATATATATATATATATATATATATATATATATATATATATACACACACACACACACACACACACACACACACACACACACATCAGCAAAAAAGTCATCCTCTGCAGTGTATAATATCACCAAAAGATTCAGGGAATCCAAAGAAATCTGTGTGTAAAGGTCAAAGCCTAAAATCACAACTGAATGCCTGTGACCCTCAATGCCTCAGATGGCACTGAACTAATAAACAGCATGCCTCTGTGATGGATATCAGCACGTGGGCTCAGGAATAACTTGGCAAACTGTTGTCGGTAAACACTGTTCATCGCTGCATCCACAACTTCAACTCCTTGAGACCACCGGTGGTTCCAAAATGCACTTTGTCATATTCTTCATAACTTTCATATTTCATAAGCTACATTCAAAAGGTGGGTGTCATATGAGAGCTGTAACTGTCTTCTTTCTAGTCAAATAGATGGGCGATGTCCACAAATCTGGACTATAAACTATAAACAGATGGCGTCTCTTCAGTGATCTGCTCTGTAAAAATGATTTTTATAAAATAAAACAAAGAGGATCTAAGATTTCTGGCTTTTAGCAGTAAATTGCAAGCATATAGCAATATGTGTATGATCATAAAACACGTGTTCTGTTAATTTGAGGGGAGCTTTTGCAAAAAAAAATTAAAATAAAATTATATTTATTTCATGCAGTTACTGAATAATTTGCCCTACGATTTGGTCATGTAAATTCAGATGGACAAGCCAAAATATACCCTGGAGAATAAGAGGTGAAGACTGTACTACGCATAGTGGAAGTCATGGCAACACTGTCCAGAAACACCTCCAACTTCTCTGGGCTTCAGCTCTTCTGAAATGGACTGATGCATCATGGAAATTACGAATCTGATGAGTCAATATTTCAGATTGTTCGTGGAAATACATCGTGTTCTCTGGGCCAAAGAAGAAAAGGATCATCCAGACTGTTACCAGCATAAAGTACAAAAGCAAGCGTCTGTCATGGTTTGGAGCGAGTGAAGATGTACAAAAAACAAGTTCATAATCCTGAATCTATTGAAACATGGCAGGAAATAGGGAAGACTTCCTGTGTCCTGTCTGACAGAGATTACTGTGTGGCCTCAGACTTCTTCCTCTGCTCCTGTGGAGAACCTGGGAGAAATTTACGCCCGTCAGGAAGCCCTCCCTCAGATAACAGGGCCGAGGGTCAAGGGTTATGAACATGTGGGGAATCCCTGGAATGTAGGCTGTAATGTGGGGGCAGATACAGCAAGATGCGTTATCACCAGCTCTGTAATGGCACACACTCAGTATCACAGTATGCAGTAAGAGTGGACGGTATGGCAGAAATATCACAATAAAATAGGGATGTGCGTTCTGACTTATTTTCAGATCCCACTGTCCATTAGAGTTCTTGAACAGATGTCCAGTTAACCACATGGAATGGAAAACAACACTAAAAAAATAATGTAGGCCTGTAGGCTTATCTTTGTAGGTGACAGCACTGATGTAGCACACAGTATAGCAGCACACAGAAGAATACAAAATAGCATGTTGCATTATTTAAAAACAGCCGAGGGACGCTGGTAGATATTCGCGCTGGATGAGTTCTGTCTTTCAGAGTATCAGAGTACAATATAACACATTTACTCGACAAACACAATCAAAACCAGTGTTTTCAGTACAAAACTTAGCAAATACCAAAATGGTGATTCTAGTATTGGAATACAGGCATATTTTATGGTTATTTATGTACTTGTGCACGTCCCAACACAGTATATCAAAAGACACAATATGTAGTAAGAACAAACGAGAGAAAATTAAGAATAGGAAAAAATTAAGAAAATAAATTGTCATCCAATCAGCTAATTGTTACTATGCACTTTGTGCAGATACTGGGGTAATGATGCAGTCATGATGCCATTGTACACTACCATTTAAAAGTTTGAACTCACTTGTCATAGTAATAATTGCAGTTAATTTAGGCAGTAATGCCGTAGTGTATATTGAAATGCTATAAGCTAGACACCAGGAGGTACTCGTTATATTCACTATTTTATTTTTTAGGAACAGCAAAAAGTTATTAAATAGTAAGTGATATACTGTAGCTATCTGTTCACATGAATTTTTTAGATGTTACTTCATTTTTAGCATTTAGAGCTTTCTCAGGCATTTTAGAGTCATTTACAGGTCTGTTTATCCTTCTTGTCAATTCTAATGTTCCTTCATTTTTGAAGGAATCCCAAAAATACATTTTCTTCTGCATTTCAATAAGGTTTAAACGAGCCCTGTGACCACAAAGTGTGGAGAAAATGAGACCAATAAAATGAATTGCTTTGTTGACACAATCGTCTTCAATTGGGCACTTTTTTCTAACTAAGAGAATGCAGAAGCTTGCCAGCATAATTTTGCTAGTTACATGTAGTAGCTAGCTATCATTGTGCAAGTATCTAATGAGCTAACAGTTCATTTGTACTTATAATAACCAAACTAAACATTTTCTTATGGGTGAAATGATCTGTCTATATACCTGAGTGCACTGCCAAAGTATATCCTATAAATAGGAACCTCTGCCCATGTTTTACTTGAGGGCTGGGGCTTTTCCTGCTCTAGCAAACCAGTGATTTGAGTTGAATCAGTTCTGTTTGAGCACCATCACCAAAATGTGCAGGAATCCCTCCAGGGCCAGATTTCCCCATCCCTTACTTAGAAGAGCATATTGTTAAGTAATATGTCACAGTACCGTTAACATATTGTCATATTTCCCACAGTTAGTGTCCAGAATTTCCATTTTGATGTGTACTGCATGTGACATTGAGTGTTCCCACTACAGCTTGCATTTGTGCTAAATCTGTCTTGTTCTCCTTGCAGGATCAGTATGACGTCATTGAAAAGCACACGCAGTCTGGGTTGGATCTGGTGGAAAAATATATAAAATTTGTTAAGGAACGCACAGAGATTGAGCAAACCTACGCCAAGCAACTAAGGTGAGCAGTTTCGCATTCTTAGCTAACCAGTCAGTATAGACAATGTGTGTGGATGTGTCTGTGCACATGGAGGCCTGCAGCACTGTGAGTGTCTGGTAGCAGATTGTGAAATTGATGTTCGGTCTTATGACTGGTTTGGGGCAAAGCTGAACTTGTCTGCTCTGCTGAAAAATGGGGTTGGCTTCAGCCCAGTGCAACTGGAGACACTACACTTATTCTCAACTGTGCGCAGATGTCGCTCTCTCTTTCTGCCTCCCTCTATTTCTCCCTCTTTTATTATTATTTTTAACATTTATTGCAGTACTGTGCAAAAGTTATTGTTTATTTAATTTCAAGTCGAAACAGCATACTGCTATTATGTCATTTTTTTTAGTGTTTGGGGAAAAAGATATTTATAGGAAACTGACACAGGTGCTTAAACAACTGAATATAAAGTGACATTTTTCAGTATTTAGTGTGTCTGTGCTTTACCTTCCTTACAGCTCCCATTCTTTTCAGGAGACTTTCATTCGAAGTTCAGCCTTAGAAGTTGGTTGCATTTTTGGTTGTCATGATCCATGATCCAGGGTGGTCAGTGCATTGTTCTGAGAACACCAGCAGCTTCTTTGTCCACATCTTGCACATTATGAGTCAGTTTTTTTCAATGATGTTTTGAACCTGACTTTTGGAAACTACTGTTTTTTCACTTTTTATCTCCTTTGACTTTCCACTTCATTATGCAAGTGGATTATCTTGTATCTCCTTTGAAAGTTTTCCTGAAAATGAATAATTTGTTCTTAATGTAAGGGTGGTCTCTGCAGACCCTGATGTCCTTAGAAGCCACTTAAAAATGAGCCAGCAGTGAACAGTGGAAGCCAAATGCAACAAAGAACCCAGAGAATCTAACTGACAATAGGCCCAATCATAGTTTCTTCAAGTTCAGGGGTATCAAACTTAACCACTGAAAGGGGCATATTAAAAAATCTCAGCAAATCCGTGGGCCAGCTGTGTTTTTATTTCATTTTTACTTAACATTTTAGCATGACCTGAACGGGCCATTGTTTATTCAATATATGCCAAAACTGCAACAGCAAAATAGGCATTGAATACTTATTTATTTAGTAATTATACAGAAATAATTCTAAATAAAAATAAATTGTTTAAGGTATTTTTTCTCATAACTGACTATTTGCTTGATCTAGAGACCAGGTATCTCTTTTTTGTGTAACCGCTGGCCCATAGATTGTTGTTGGAGGAAGGGGGTCAGAACACACACTATGTTGCAGTGCATGCTGGGGACTGTAGTGCATATCGGGGTGAAACGGGCCAACAAGAACAGAAAATTAAAATAATTTTGAGGGCCGAATAGGACTGAGTCATGGGCCTGGTGTTTTACACATGGGTTGTAGTTAAATGAATACAAAAGTAAACCTTGAGGAGGAATGTTAAGTGCAGTAAATAAAGCATAATAAACAAACAGTAAACAAAAACACACAGTATGGTTGTGCTTGAGAAAAATGAAGCGTGAGTGCAGAGTATGGCTGTCATTATGGATTATATAATAAATTAGTAATCTGCTGATTATTTTAATGAAGTCGTTAGATTGAGTGATCAGAACTTACAAAAAGGCCAAACAATAAAACTGAACGAATACAAACCATGCAGAGCCTTTTAGAGTTTCTGAAATGGGCTGTCGGAAACAGATACGCTAAGGCGGCTTTTGAAAAGACTTACAAAAAGAACAGGAAAGGGGAATTCCATCAGTTTTTCAATATTTTTGTAGAATTTGATTGTTAAGATGTAAACAAAGTCACTGTGGTTTGGTGTGAAATGCTCGAATCAAGAGAAACAGAGTCAGAATTGTTCACAGTGGTGATCATAGGAACCAGACGGCTGACGTTTTTAATGACTTTAATAAAACACATAACTTTACTACAAAAACAAGTGAATCATACAGACACTTATACAAAAATGGGAAATTTCATCAAAATTTCCCTTTAAGAGGTTGTGACAAAGCATACGTGTAAAAGAGTGTAAATCAGGCCCTGTTTTTACCGTAAGAGAAAGCAGTTGAGTTTAATGGTGGCATGGGGGGGGGGTTAAGTTTTTCTGCCTCTTTTTCTGCTCTATCTCTCTCAGTCTCAGTCGCTCATTTTCTCTGGCTCTTTCTCACTCTTCTGCTTTCTTTCTTTTTTTTCTTTCTTTCTTTCTCACTTTCTCTGCTCTGTGTCCCTTTTTGGCCTCTATCGCTCTGCTGCCTCACGTGGCTTTTCCTGTGCCCTGACTGCTCACAGAGAGGAGAGAGGAAGTGGGAGCAGACCGGCATATGACTGGGAGGATGTGGTTGATTAGAGTAAAAGAGGAGTGGAGGGAACTTTCTTTTACTGCCTCAGCACCATTTACGTTAAAAGAGAGAGAGAGAGTTTTCAGTGTGTGATTTGCTGAGGTCAGGAGGTGCAGAAACAGCATGATTAACATATACTGTACCTTTTAAGCAGCTGCGCTAAAGTGGAAATGTGTAGTAGATTTGGGTTGAATGACTTTCATTCTTATCGTGATATTATTATTGTAATGCACTATGCTTTTCTGGGCATTCTGTCGATATCATCAGTACTACCTTACGAACACTGCATGTTTTATTAAAAAGAGAACATAATTAGCCCTGTTTCATTTAGTGCAATGCAGTGTGTGATACATTAATTAACAGTCATGTCCAGAATTTTTGATGGCTGTTTTTCAGCTTGGCACTAGTAGTGCATTATGTCTGGGTTAAAGTATTGTGATGGTATCGAATATTGATAATCATGATATGATGGTTTTGCCATATTGCATACCTCTAATACAGAGGTCACTAATAGGCGGACCGCGGTCCGAGTCCGGACCCAGACGTTGTCCTATGCAGACCTGGACCTATAACCGATAAACTATGGAGAATTATTTAATTTCGACAGTGTGGTCCTATTTTAATCGGCGTAACTTCTCTAGCCTTTACGGTACCGCTTTAGCGGCCCAGGAAACTCACAGACCAGTCGCATGCGTTGTACATATCACACGTTACGCTACTCATCCAATCAAATCTGTGCATTACGTTGAGCACTGAGACTCCAGTGACTGTCGCACACACAGGGGAGGGACGCAGTGAGAAACAGCAGTCGGAGAGGAAAGTGACTCAAAGGGAAGTATATTTCACATGGCGTGCTCTAAAAAGAGAAAACTTACAATAAATGTAGTTGAAATATCACTGAATTTCACTTTATTTGATATAACATTCAGTTGTTGATTGCCAAAGATGTTGATATAACTACTAGGCTACTTCAGTTTACAGTATATGGCACATCATGACGCAAGTTAGACATTATATTAAGTTCCGGACCTTTGCTTAAGGAAATTCTCTCTAACTGGACCTTACTGAATTTTAATTAAAGACCCCTGCTCTAATATATAGTGTAATAATATTGATAATAATATTGAAGTGTGAAAGTTAATACACGAATGAGCAAATCTGAAAGGGAGTTGTGACACCAGAGTAAAAGAGCAATATGGCAAAAATACAGTGTCCAAGTACGTGACGACATTTAACGGTACACAACATGCATCAAAATATTTAGCTTTTCTGTGGTTTGATAAACTGTAACAAACAGAATGCCCCAGTCTTGCTTTATTTTATAAAAAAAAAAAAAAAAACTATAAAAATACAGTGATTTGTATTCAGCCTTTCGCTCGCTGTGCTAAATCCACTCAATTGGAACTAATTGTGCTGTTTTTGTAATGAAACGTGCAGTGAAGTAATGTAAATTATATGCTCAGAAAAATATATTGTGTGATCTAATGAAATTTATCACACGATCAAATATTATCATACTGCCTACCCTACAGTCAATACAAACTTGGTGGATTCAGTATTTTGTGAACAACCAGAGCATAAAAACCGATATCAGCATATATTTTGTATTTCTGTTTTAGATTTTAATTTTATGCTCTCGTAGTTTTAGTAAAATGTGACTGTTTAGACTGATATGGTTGCCAGCTGTAGTAAGTGGGTTTATCCTGCTCTTGTGAATAACTTTCCAGCAGCCAGTAAATGGCCAATACTTTTAGCCCAAATTTCCCCCTTTTTGATGTAAACTAGGCAGTCCTAATCTTAGATAGAGCTTACCTATCCAGTACCCTCACTGGTCACAAGGCTTATGTAGTTTTGTCATGAAGCAGGCTGGGAGTGTTGGACAGAGGCTGTCAGTCTGTTGATATCTGAATATCAAGCCAGACAGTTCTTAGATTTGTCTGGTCAGCAGTTTTTAAGCTGTATGTTTTCATTATATTTCTATCTTGTTTGCTTTAGTTTAAACTTTGCTTGATGTTTAATGTAACACTCAATTTTAGGATCATACAGACATGTTTAATGTATGTAAGTTGTGTTCTGGGACTTAAAGCAGTGTAAATATCGGAACACTGGGATGGAGCTACCCAGAAATCATTGCACTGTACCTCTTTTTGCGTGTCATGCAATGTTATTCTTGTGCTAATTCAAAAACATTTACCTAGTCTGTATTACTCTTATAGTTTAAGAGCAGAAAACTCAGTGCAACTGCTGTCTGAGGTTTCTGTTTACTGTTGGGAGATTGAGATTTTGAATGGCCAGTGATGTTGACAAAAGAGACAGACGTAACATATTTTCACAGATACCGATAGTCATAGGTTGTTGGTAAGGGCTGATATCGGCCCACTGATGTATTGGGAGAGCTCTACTGTTAATCCATTGATTATTGAATCATAGCAAATTTACAATTTACGAACATCTGTTTGTCAGTTTCACTTGAATCATGTTTTTTTTTTGTCTTCAGTTTTCATGTACAGTGGGGTCCAAAAGTCACCACATTGAAAGTCCAGGATTGTTTTTTTTTTTTCATTTAAGCCTGGAAATAAACAACAAAGTTTTAGAAAGTGAAGAAAACTTTAATTAAAGTGAAGCAGAAACATTGTGCACGAGGCTATTTCTAGGTCACCATTCAAATTTAAGCAAATTTGTGACCTTGACTGTGCTAAGGCCTTTGTACAATAAGGTCAGATTTCTTCTTCTTCTTCTTAAAGTGCGCGCTGTCATTTAAAGCAAAAGGGTTACATACCAAATAGTAAGAACATTTTAAAGATTCTACTTTTTACTCAAAATGTTCTGATAAGATCTGTACCTGAATACTATTGAATTAGAAAAGACTGCAAAGTAGAAGCATTTTCACTTGTGCTCTCAGAATTTGGGACCCAGCTGTGGAATATGTGAGCTTATGTTTGATATAGTTTTAAAAAATCATAATACTGAGTACGTGTAGTCTTCGTATTGTTACACTCATAGTTATGTAGTTACATAAAGTCTACCTCCCTTTGGTTGATCCCTCCTTCTCTTTCTTCCCAACCGCCTCCCCCTCCTTGTCTCAAAATCATCTAGATTTGCCATCGCAGACGTTGCCCTGCACACTAGAAAGCAGGTTGCACTATTTTCAAACCTTGAAATAAATAATTGATGTTACCAGTGTCTATATGTACTGATACAGTGACATTTTATTTTGAATTTTGAGGAAGCACTTATACACAGCCACACTGAATCTTGCTTTAAACTGGTCTGAAAAGTCAAATTAGTTCGGTTTCATTGGACACAACTCCTATAATATAGTGATGAATCAGAAACATTTATTTTATTTGATTTTGATTTCATTAAATGGTTCAAATTTTAGTTAATTTGACCTTTTCATTTGACGACTGTTTTGTGTTCATCCAAGTAAGGTCAGCATCATTGTATATAAAACAGGTTCAGCAGCTTTGCTATGGAAATACACATCAACTATTGTATACATGCAAATATGGCTAAGAACCACGTGTCATTTGAGGCCAAATTCTAATTAGAGTTTAAAGATAACAGTGGCGGCCTGTCCTGCTTGGGTTTGCAAGTCGGTTACTTTTCCTTTGCTTGTTGGCTGTGGGCAATAAAATTGTTTGGCAGATTTGTTTTGTTTGAAAATGTCTGCTTATGCATTCAAAGCTTAGCATGTCTGGCATGCTCGGTGAAGAAAACCAGGCAATGAAATGAAAGATCAGAATATAAATATTCAGTGAATTGTGCTTGTATGAATTAGCAACACATTCAGAAGCTCAGTTTTTATGTATTGCCAATGATACTGTCAATCTGAGATTGAGTGAGTTGATATTAAGCAAAAGTCATAATTTATAAAGACTTTGAAACCATGCTCATAAGAATATACCATAATGTCAGCAGTATAAGATTATAGAGTCATTTGTGCTGACATTTTTATTAGAGACAGATTTTCTTTTCATTTGATTCTTTTGACTGATGACCAGCAAGCCTAAAATCAGAGGTGCACTCTTTCAAAATCTCAATTATGAGACACAGTCCTGGTTCTTAAATCTGATTGAGTCACGTTTGAAGCCACTGTAAAATACCTGGTATACACACAGTATGAGTGCACACATCAACAGAGTTCTGTATTAATGCACCAAGAGCAAGTGCTCTTTGTATGGACTGTTGAATGCAGTACTGATAGGTGAGGCCAGACATCAGTGAGGAATATGAAGTAAATGTCCCAAAACTCTATTAAACATATTCTAGTTAAGAACCTGAACATTATCTTTGTGACTATATGACCAAAAACAAAAAAATTGATGAAATGACTGGAATATGTAAAAATGGGCTATTATGTTTCTACATGCTAAAGTTCTGAAGTTTAATTTTTCTCATTAGTAGCCCAAGTTGAGACAAACAAAAGTGCTATGACCAGGGCTCACTTTGCCTCTGTGTACCTCAGTAGCTCTCAAAAGACGTCGCTGCCTGCCAGGGACGAAATAGTTGTCTGTCTTATCGCTTGCGGATGTTTGCTTTCGATATGGTATGTTGCAGTTGTGCTATCATTCTCTTTACAGTGGTCCAGAACACCACTTTTTCAGTGTAGGTCATCTGTGAACAAGTGGACAGGCAAATGGGTGGAGTGTAAGGGCCCAGTGACATCTTTGCTGATGATGTTTTTGTTTCTGTTCATATCTCTACAGGAATCTAACCAAGAAGTACAGTCCCAAACGAGGCAGCAAGGAGGAGCACGAATGCAGGTAATTTGGTGAATTTTATAGCTTACACAGTCATAATCATGAAAGCATCCTGAAACCTTGACTGAAATAACTGGTTTGGGCAGAGCTGTTTGGTTTTTGCCCTGAGTGAGTGATCAGGAGCACCTGTGGGGTCTAAATGAGATCAGGCTGAGGATGTGGCAGAAACAGCTGCACGGCCATGCAAATAGCTTTAATAGGCAGCCTCTGGGAAAGAGGAAGGAAGCTGCAGATGGAAATGAGGTCCTATTGAGATCTGCCTCACTATTCACCTTTATCTGGAGTGAAATCAGTACTAACACTCATATCTACATCTGTGTCTTTCCTTTTGTGTCACTCTCTTTGTTTTCTTTTTTCTCTTTCGTTCTTTCTTTGGTTATTTGTTTCTTTATCTGTCTCTTTCTTTCTCTTTCTGTGCGTGTGTGCAAGGTTTTCAAATCACCAGTCCTTCCTGGACATTCTGAACGAGATGAATGACTACGCTGGGCAGAGAGAACTGATTGCTGAGAACATGATGATGAACATCTGCATCGAACTCACCAAGTACCTGCAGGAGCTCAAACTGGAGCGCAAGACGGTGAGTGAGTGAGTGAGTGAATGAATGAAGGAGAGAGAGCAGAAACTGGGCCATGCTTAAAATAAAGTCAGCAGTGGGATGGATGGGTGGAGAGGAGACAGGGAACTGGAGGGAGGGAGGGATTGTGGAGGAGGAGGGGCAGTGTTGTGGTTAGAAGGAAATGTAAATGTTGAGCACCATGTAGGGGGAACGCATTGTGCTTGTGTCACTTTAGATGTTTAGAAGAATGTTTTGGACTCTGCCGTGTTTTGTTATTCCGTTGTCACATTCCAGAAGATACTAGACAGTGCATTGCAGACATCGCTTGGGACTTTGGGGGTGGTGGTGGGGGATGTGCTGTTGTGGCCAAACTGTAATAACAATAGTTTGTTTATCTCTGTCTTCCTTTATGTCCTTTTTTGGCTCTTTTTCTGTCTCTCTGTCTTTCTCTTTTACATTTTTAGCATCTATCAGACGGCAAAAAGGCTCAGCAGTCTCTGGAGAGCACCTACAAGCAGCTTGACAATGTAAGTGTGCATTTCCATCTGCAATGATGGTTTACAATGCCCTGTTGTGCCGGATCCATGTGTGAAGCCCCTCATTGAGGCAGGCAAACAGGGCCCAGTCTGGGACTGATGAGCTTGTTTTTCTGTGATTTGGATGTGATGACTGACTGTGCAGAGTGAGCTCTCTTTGTCTACATGCTGTATTGCCTCTGTTCACTGTGACATTGTCTGCTGTGAGTGAATTGAATGTGTAAAAAGGCAGGGTGGGGTGGGCGGTTCATTGTTTATGTGCTCTTTGTGCTGTTTGTCAAAATGTGTATTATCAATGGACATAAGGGCTCACATGGACAGCATTTTACAGGCTTCCAATGTTTGTGGTATTTCTGAACGAGTACTTAAATATTTACACTCAAAACTACCCTCCAAGACAGGAATATTTACAGTTCATAATTAACCAATTAATCCATTTTAATTTTTTACATTGGACGTCCCAAAGATGACAAATCTTGTTCAGGATTGATGACTTGTATTTTAGGGTTTTATAAAGAGTTTGGTGGTATCCACTTTCTTCAAACCATCAAACCATTTCCACATTCAAACCATCTATCTAACACAGGGGTCCTCAATCCTGGTCCTGGAGATCTACCATCCTGGAAAGTTCAGCTCCAACACACACAGGTCATATAGTTAGTTGCCCCTGAAGGCCTTGATTACCTGGATCAAGTGTGTTAGATTAGGGTTGGAGCTACACTCTGCAGGGTGGTAGATCTCCAGGACCAGGATTGGGCACCCCTGATCTGACAATTGCTAAAGGTTAAATAGTGCTGCTAAATAGGACAGAGGAGCTGGTTAGCATTAGCTTAGCTAGCATGATAAAAGCTCTTCATACCAAGGAATGTTTAGTTCTGGTTAACTAAAGCACTGACACAAGTTTAGATGATGATTATGATGATGATTCGAATCTGAGGGAGTGAAGTTGAGCAACTGGGACAGAAAGGTGAAATTAAACCTGTTCTGTGGCGTTTAGATCTGTAGCCTGTTTAGATTAGCTAAGTGAACAGGCTACAGACCCAAACACCACAGCGCAGACTTGATTCAGACTAACTTTTGCTCTGTTGACGAAAGTGAATTTTTGTAAGAAGATGATAAAAATGAACGTTTGAGAGAGCAGACGTCGGGTGATTGGTGCTGGAGTGTCAAAGCGGAGTTTGGGGCGGTAGCATTTGGCTAAGCTAACAATAGCTTCCTTAGCAGGCCAGATGAGCCAAACATCACAGCACAGGCTTGGCTCCAGCTGATGCTAAATGACACCTGTTTAGAGGATATCTGAGAGCACAGAGTCGAGCGACTGGTGTTAGAGTAAAAGCCGAAATCAGACGTGATCTGTGGTGTTTGTAGCTCTTAGACGTCACTTAGTCATGCTCTGTTTTTTTGAGGTTTTTCCTGCCTCTGATTTTTTCCCCACTTTTTATCTCTTTCTAGTGCCATCAGTGAGATCCCACACCACTGATCAGTGACCCCTCTAAAATATAAATGGGTGGAATGTGTTTATTTGGTTGTACAGATGTGGAATGGAAATTTCACATCATAGTTTTGAAAAACTGTCATCATTTTTCAGTATCAAGGTTACCAATATACCTCGTTACCACTTTACCACCAAACCTTGTTTTTTACGCTAAATTTGTATAGATTTGCGGCCATTCATAAAGTATTGGAGCTAATATTGGAGCTGTGTTGTGACTGTGTCTGTCTCGCAGCTCCACTGCGGCTAAACGACTACCTGTGAAAGAGCTCAGCTTCTTTAGCTGTATGTTCAACAGTCGAAGCTGTAGCCAACCAAATTAACATGTATTTGGCTAATTCCTTTGTTTAAATATTGTTTGCCGTTTTAATATCTTTGATATTGTTTTAATGTCAATAACTGTCTTTCCTGGTGTTAGATTTTTTGTTTAAAACAAAAATGAACAACGTTGCGCTGTCAATAATCCACAAGAGTGTTGTAGAATTGATCTGAAAGGTTAACAAAAGGTTAAACAAAACATCTGTATACTAAATAAGGATAAATAAGGAAATGAATACCAACATAAAGAACAAATATTTGAGTATTCAGAATATTGGATTGCAGGATTTTCCTTTGAGAAGTGTATGGTTAATATTGTGAATTCATTGGTGTGTGTGTGTGTGTGTGTGTGTGTGTGTGTGTGTGTGTGTGTGTGTGTGTGTGTGTGTGTGTGTGTGTGTGTTTGTTTGTTTGTCAGAGTAAAAAACGCTTTGAGAGAGAGTGGAGAGAGGCAGAAAAAGCAGCACAGTATGCAGAGAAGACAGATCAGGACATCAATGCTACAAAAGCCGATGTGGAGAAGGTACTTGCACTCACTCATTCCCAATATCTCTCCCAGCTTATACATCCCAGTGCACTGTGTAACTTTCTTTCCTGATCACAATCAGAATCAGAACTTTTTTATTAACCAAGTTCCAGATGTGCTAGGACCTTTCTCTCCGTGCTGATATCAACATAAATTCCAATACAAATGTAGAAAGAGTGACTTTTTATTTCTCTTAAATTGTTACTGACTTTTAAACTAGTCTTTGTGCTTGGACCCCCTTGTAAACCGATGACCACAGGGTTTAACTTTTTCAATTAAATAAACTTATTATTATTATTATTATTATTAGTAGTAGTAGTAGTAGTGGTAGTATGTATGTATGTATGTATGTATGTATTTATTTATTTATTTATTTATTTATATTACATTTTCCTAGTTATCCTGAGGTCACACCACCTGACTTGGTGAACTAAACTAGCTTAACTGTAACTATTTCTGGAAGAGCTACTGACTTTGGCTTTGAACCATGAAGGTCTTTTTTCTTATGCTCGCTCTTTTTTAAAAGCGTGTCACAATTCACAGACAAAAGTGTTGCAACTAAATACTTTTGAATTTGTCCTATTTTGTGATTATCATTTTTTATGTTACCTAAAATCACACCAACCTATTTATTTAATTTATTTAATTTTTTTTAATAGTTTGCTTAATCTGCATTTATGGTCGGAGAGTCACATCAAATGACATTTTTAGTAATTATGAGGCATAAATGCCAAAATAAATTTAATTTTGATGCACTGAAAATGTATTTGCATAAAGGATATATTGTAAAAAATGTGAATGTCATTTATTTATTGTTTTTTTTAATTATTTAATAGGAAAATAATGGACTAGGACACCAGACTAAATTCTAGTATTGTTCCACTGTACAGCCTTGCTACAATAATATAAAAGAGGTGTAAAGAGTGTTATGTACACACTCATTGTATTGTGATTGTATACGATTATAAAGTACATTCATTCAGTATTTACTCAGCTCCTTGCAAGATGTGCATGTTTGTCTTTCTGCACTAACCAGACTGTTTGTGTGTGTTTAGGCCAAACAGCAGGCGCATATGCGCACACACATAGCGGAGGAGTGTAAGAATGACTACGCTGCCCAGCTGCAGAAGTACAACAAGGAGCAGAGCCAGTTCTACTTCACTGATATGCCTCTTATATTCAATGTAAGCAAAAGCACAGTCATTCTCATTTCCTTGAATCACCTCCTGGCCAAGTATCTGTTAGCTGATGGTTTCCGTGTAGCCTCTATGATGCACTGATAGCATGTTTGTGTCTTTTCTGCAGAAGTTGCAGGACATGGATGAGAGGCGCATGCGGAAGTTAGCACAGGCCTACATCCTGTATGCGGACACAGAGAGGCACGTCATGCCCATCATAGGGAAGTGCCTGGAGGGCATCACCAGGGCTGGCACCAATGTCAACGAGAAGAATGTAAGCCCACCATCCACACACAGGTTTTACACATGGTTTAAGTCCAGTCGGCAGAGTTACTCCCTTTTAGATAAGGCCCATGTGTGCCCATGTTCCAGGGGTGTAAAACTCTGATCTCAGTTAAATTTTTAGCAAATGATTCAATGCATCATAAAATCTTCAATTTTATGCTAGTTTTGTTTCATTTGATTATGTTGTTAAGATTTAGATTTATTTAAAAAAATACACAGTACTCGAATGTGACTGGAGGAACTATTTATACAGTAACAGAGTGGACAAAAAGCAATACGCCAAGTGTTTTTGGGTTTTTAATAGCCAGAATTTTATTTTTTTATTCTATTAGTATATACTTTAATGAATGATTTTATAATGTAGTGTAATCATATATATGTTCCAAAATTGCTGCAGTTAAATCACCACCTTAAGATTGTTGCATTTTCACACACCTACCAATTCTCAAGTGTCTTGCTTTGCATAAGAAGGCAGCTGTAACTTGTTTGTAAATAAAATAACAGGTGCGAGTAAGGATGAGCAGTGCTCCACAAGTGACATCAACAAGTATACACTACTATACTGTACACTACTAATCTAAAACCACCCTTCATTTATTTAATTTCCAGTCAAAATGGCCATTAAGTAAAAATTATTTATTTACAGAAGATATTTCTGAGGAGCTTAGATATAAGATGATCCACTTGCTTAAAGAAAGAGAAAGTCCAAGGAAATAAAGTGAAAAAAGTTAGAAAATAGGACTTGTAACAACCATGCAAGACCTGGTAGACACCAAAACTGCCCCGATCAGATAGACAGCACTTCATGTGATAAACAGAACAAAGCTTTCATGTTTGAGAGAGAGGAGGAAATCAAGCTAAATCAAGCTCAATTCTTGCTTCAGCTGTCAAGACGTCCTTTCTGAGAAAAGGAAATGGACAAAAAAAGAAGAACATTTGCAAATCAAGCAAAGAAGCTGCTGGTGTTCTCAGAATCCAGACCTCAATATCACAATGTGTTTGGGATTATTTGGATTGTGAGAAGCAGAAAATACAACCAACTTCTAAGACTGAACTTACAATGTTCTGTATTAGTTAGTTGTTGAGGCTTCCATTTTTAAAATAAAATTCTAATTTTCCACCTTTTTCTGATGCTGAATGAATAAAATGGATAACTTCATACCTGTATTAACTGAAAGTTTAAAAAAAAATAAAAAATAAATGAAGAGTGGTCTCTGACTTTTGTACTCTACTGTAAGCGGCCACAACTAATGTTATGCTACAAGTGTGCTTCTGAGGTCCATGTCTGTGTAAGCCACCACAAAAGCCCCACAATGAGACACTTGAGGAACAGAAGTAAAGCACTGGCATCGATCAGATGATGGTAGTTCGACTGCATACATTTTGAAATGTTAGAATGGATTCTAATCAATTATGATAATACTTAATTGATCATGCACTCTATTTTGGCAAATACATTGTTTCAGGCTAATGTCAAGTTTAAATAAAATAATAAAAAATGCTCTATATTCCACTACTCTGAAAAATATTACCCCAGTCACGTTTGTGTATTTCTGTAAATCCTATTGTGGTGAAATTTAAGTTTCCTAATAGACATGTGCACCTAGCTGAGTAAAATGTCCGTGTGATTTGCAGGACTCCTTGGTTCTCATAGAGCAGCACAAGTCAGGCTTCGAGCGGCCCGGCGACCTGGAGTTTGAGGACTACAGTCAAGGCATTAACCGAGCCTCCTCTGACAGCAGCCTGGGCACCCCCAAGGGTCCTCTGGATCTGCTGGGCAAAAACAAAAGCAAACCATTCTGGCTGTTCAGCAAGAAGAGCAAGGTAGGAGATCTGCTTCAGATTTGGGCCAGTGTGCTGTATTATTGAGTACTGTGATATTTTAGCCCGTGATATGTTGTTATATCACATTGAGAACAACCCAAGCCTTTAATGCTGTACCAGTGTCATACAGAGCTATGCCCAGTGGTGTAATTTCAGTGAGGTTGTTCAGCATTTCTCAAGAGTCAGATTTGGACAATATGTGCTCAAAATTTCTGCATAATTAAAGGGCTAAGATGTAAATAGATCATTCAGAGTTGTTTGATGTTAAATGAGATATTCTAGAGAAACTTAAAAAGTCGGAATTGTTCACAGCAGTGGTGATGGGAGCCAGACGCCTGAAGCCCCTAAAAGCTCTCTCACAGAAAGTTATTACATAAAATGTTTACGGATACACTGCCTGATTTTAAAGGGACGACTTGGCCTAAAACAATTTTCTGAAATCCATTCATGTCTGAGAGGTACATGTGGGGTGTTGTAAGGCAAAATAGTTCTTATATTTTCAGATTTACCACTATTTTACCATTTATCAAAAGACGTGTGTAAGGTTCACTGGATGTAGTGAATAGGTTAAAAAAAAAGCTATATTTACATTGTAGACATTGCGACCCCTGGTTCCTATCACTACCACTGTAAAGAAATCAAAGTCAAAAGTTTATCTACAGTGAACCATTTTGCATTAAAACACTCTGAATGATTTTATTTACATCTTTAAACATTGAATATGCAGATATTTAAATATTAAAAATTCCCTTTTAAAATAGCTTCAGGGACAGCTCCAGTGTCAGTCTAGTTCAGAAACTCTGGTTTCCCGCACCTTTGTCCTGGAAAGAAATGCATGGTTTTCCTGAAACTTCAAAAACCTTTCGCCCTCTCACTTCCCTTTGAACAAACACACAAGCACATACACTTTTCTAGAACCCATTTTTGCATGGCTGTCTCTCTGGCTGTGAGCTCTTTTGTTACGTTCCAAGCGCATGACCGGAGCTTAGCTGTGCTTATATCCGAGCAGGGTACAACCACTGTCAGCCCCTCCACGGGCCCTGACCCACACACTGCTGCTGTTATCCCAAACAGAATAAATCCTTCAGTCCCATCACAATGACACCTTTGTGAAATCTCAAGCACCAGGAAAGATACTGGCATCTGGTTAACGTGGTTAAGAGGGTTGAGAAATCGTTTGAGAATGACAGTCTGTGGAGCAGCATAGGGAACACATTCAGATATATACAGCTACATGGTTAGGGGTTGGCAATATGATATTGTTGTCATGATAGATTATGCCAAGCTTTTGTGTCTGTACAAGGTCATGCATCATCAAGGCAGATGTAGGCTAACTGTGGACAGAGACCCTGTAAACAAAATCCGTCACTTCATAAACTGTAGTAGCAAGTAGCCGATTAATGTCAGCCCATTATGGCATTTATTTCATTAGTTTACTTTTTCTACTTTTTTGATTTCTTTTTTTTTACCTTTGGACCATCTTAAATAGGCTTTTTTTAGAGCTATCATACGACTAAATGAACTCTTTGTGATTAATTGCGTTATTGTGTGCGCTCGATCACAATTATTTGCACTTATTTGCTCAAATGTGACCCTAAATAGAGTTCTGTTTCATTTCATAAAGCATTTTGTTATGCAGTTGTTTGCAAAAGGTTTAACACCCCTGTTCAAATTACATGTTTTCTGATTTTCAGAGTGAAAGTAAGTTAACACGTGCTCTACAGATGATGCTCTACAGATACAACTTAATTATTTCTGCAAAAAACATACAAAACATACAAAAAGTGCCATAACTTTTGCAGTTTCCCCAATATGTTAAATTCAGAAAATAAATTGTAATTGGGCATGAAAATGTGCAGTGTGTTCTCTGTAGGGGATGTGTTAACATATTGTCAATCAAAAATACAAAGAAAAATGTAATTTGAACAGGGGCGTCCATTTGCGTACGACTGTAACTATATAAGTGGATAAAATAAGCTTTATTGTTTACTTTGAGTACTCCAATAATCAGCTTGTCACATTCATGAAATTTTAGCAGGCGATCACTTGTCAAATAAACAATTCCAATTAGCGATTTAATTGTCTGTTTTCCTCATTTTATGCAACTAATAAAGTCTAAAGTAGCTGTAGACTTAGTTTATTAGCTTTCTTGCTTACCTAGCTCTTTTCTTTGCAGCCAACAAGAGATCAACACATAGTAGTTCGTAGATGTGCCACATTTTTTATTTATTCTTTTGATATATTTTAACCATTCTAGCTCGCATTCTGGTCTAAGCAGGGGAAACAGTGTGTTATATATCATGTTTCATGTTGAAAATGCCTTCAGGGGTCATGTTATAGTTTTGCCATATCACCCGTCCTTACATGTGAGACCACAAGCAGGGGTTTCCCATCTGAATCAGGACAGTGCTCTCTGTCTGTTCTACTGAAGGACCACCACGTGAACCTTTCCCCTGACCAATTCAAACATGTCCTCTACTGCTGCAAAACTCCTCCCCCTCTACTCTCACCTGCGTGTATATGTCTCCTGCCTTACCTGTCTCACCTTGTCTCCTCCCTTTGCGTCCAGTCTGCATGCAGTGCTGCCCCGTGCCGCACGTCAGTCTCTTAAATCAACCAATGAGATGGCAGCGACAAATCCTGCCTCTTGAAATGATTGGCCATGCTACAAACCTTCTCTACCTCTGTGCTTCTCCTAATAGCACGGATCCAGAAAAACTCTTCTCATGCAGCATGTTATTACTCACTGTTTACCCTCATCCCCCACAATGCCTCTCTCCTGCTCCATGGTCACAGGAGCTGATTTGCAGGAAAGGTTTCTATTTAGCCCTTCAGTTTATCCTGCTATGCCCTGAGATGTGCTGTAGACCCCATTAGGAAGTTACAAATGTTTATCAGGCTCCTCTTGTATGTTTAGCCCTCACTATTTTGCCTCCGTAGAGGAAAATATATTGAGTTGGAGGCTCAGCAAAGCTGTTTAAAGCTAAATGAAGGTTTGAGGCTGTTTTTCATTGCTTTTCTGGCTGTTTGGTGATATTGCTGGGATTCATTTCCTCTGTTGGTCATTCCATTTCAATGTTATGCCCTGAACTTCTTGTTACAAATAGCACTGGAGACGGGCAAAGTGTGGCTACTCTGAAAAAGCCTTCACAGAATAGGCCCTGTCGATTGGCTGTTATACTTATATATAGTGTATATATATAGTAGGTTTTAATACTGTATATGTAAAGGTCAGTTGGAGCCTAGTGGCAGTCTGTTCTGTGATGTCTCTGTGTTTTTGATGTTACCACAAACTGCACTTTGTTCTACTTTCTTTTGTTTTCAATTGGATTTACCTCAGTGTTTGAAACGTGGCTACAGACTTGGATGTTTCTAATTTAGCTGCTTTAGCTGGTGGCATTGTTCCAGTGTTGCAAATGAATGACCGTTTCACCTTTTCATGTTTTTATTTTATTTTATTTTTTTTATTAACATCTTGTGAAGGAAGCAATTAATCACTCAATTGGTGACCTCTAATAGCTTTCCAAAAAAAAGAAAGAAAAACAGCTGAACAACAAGTCTGTGGTTTGAAAAAGCAGAGTAACGATAAAATTTACTGTGTTGGTATAGATGGACATCACAGAGGGTCTGCCTGTGGTATCCTGTTGAGGTACATGTAGAGCTTTGGACTAAAACTTAATAAAGACTTTAATTCGGGCACCCATGAGACATCATAAATTGAGTTTTCCTTTGGCTTTCCTTCATGGTACAGAGAAAAGTCTGGATATGTCAGGCTGGTGAAGCCACACTTTCTCCCTCAAGCTGGTGTCGCATTGCTAAGTTTTAGTGTTGGGCTGGGGTTTCAATATATGGCCACCTGGCTGAGGGGCCTTTGGTGTTCGGTTGGGGCTTTAGCACTGAGGGGCTCTTAGTGTTGAGTTTGGGCTTTAGTGTTGGGTTGGGGCTTTAGCGTTGGGCTAAGGGGCTTTTAGTGTTGAGCTGGAGCTTTATCATTGGGCTAAGAAGTATTGAGTTGTTAAGGCTTTAGCGTTAGGCTGGGGCTTTAGCTAGTCTTTTAGTGTTGGGCTGAGGGACTTTAGCATTGGGCTACAAGGCTTTTAGTGTTATGTTGGGGCTTTAGCTTTGGGCTTATTGTTGGGTTGTAGCTTTAACATTGGGCTGAGGAATGTTTAGTGTTGGGTTCAGGGGGGTTAGCTGTGGACTTGGGGCTTAGTGTTGGGATCAGGGGGTTTAGCTGTGGACTTGGGCTTAGTGTTGGGATCAGGGGGTTTAGCTGTGGACTTGGGGCTTAGTGTTGGGATCAGGGGGTTTAGCTGTGGACTTGGGGCTTAGTGTTGGGATCAGGGGGGTTAGTTGTGGACTTGGGGCTCAGTGTTTGGTTCAGGGGGTTTAGCTGTGGACTTGGGGCTTAGTGTTGGGATCAGGGGGGTTAGTTGTGGACTTGGGGCTCAGTGTTTGGTTCAGGGGGTTTAGCTGTGGACTTGGGGCTTAGTGTTTGGTTCAGGGGGTTTAGCTGTGGACTTGGGGCTTAGTGTTGGGTTTAGAAGCTGTAGCTTCGGGCTGGGAGCTTTTACTGTTGAACTAGACAGCTTAGTGTTGAGCTGAGGAGCTTTAGCATTGGCCTGAAGGGTTCTAATGTTTGTTTAAGGCTTTAGCACTGGACTGAAGGACTTTAGCTTTGGGCTGATGGGCTTTTAATGCAGGGTTGAGACTTTCACATTGGGCTTGGGGGCTTTAGTGTTGGATAAGGGTTTAAGTGTTAGGCTCGGGGGCTGGGTTCGGGTACTTTAGAATTGAGGCAGGGCTGGGGGCTTTTAGTGTTGGGTTTAGGTCTTGCTCTGCTTCTTTGGGTCCTGCTGAGGTTGTTCCAGAGTTCTCTTCCTCGCTATGTGATGTTGCTTATGGTGTTTGATGGTGTCTCTCTCTTTCCCTTGTCATCTGTGTGTCTGTTTGTGTTTGTCTCCCTCACCCTCTTCCCTCCCTTGCCCTCCTTTCGACCTCCTTCCGTCACGTTCCTGCTTTCCTCTGGGTCTGTGCCTGGTGTTGGTCCCATCTTGCCCGGCCCCTCGTTACCCTACTACGAACCTCCCCCAGCCTTCCTCCTCCCCGCTCACTCCCTTCTCCACACCCCCTGCTCCCTCACCCGCTAACGGACCCCCTTCTCCCAAGTTTGGCCGGGACCCCCTGTCGTACTGTTTGAAGGAGATCAATAAGACAGTCAAACCCCGAATCTCCTCCTTCCGGACCCTCCGTAGAACGGTGAGTGAGAAAGGGCGGGGCTCAGGAGCTCTGATCTTTAACCTGCTGCTGGTGATGCTCTTCTGTACAGCGTTCAGCAGCCACTGAAACCCTCAATTGATCCTAGACTGAGTAATGGTCATGTGCATTGAGCGGTCACAGCTAAGTAGATGTTTTAGCCCTCTTAGGGCTCCATTCTTATCTCATGATTCGTCCCAGGAGCACTCAGAATGCCACTGGAGCCTTTCTGCAGACCCCTTGTGTGACTACTGTCATGGACACACAATCTCTCTCTCTCTCTCTCTTTCTCTCTTTCTCTCTCTCTCTCTCTCTCTCTCTCTCTCTCTCTCTCTCTCTCTCTTTTAGAAGTATACCCTGGAGAGGATCACGGTAACCAACACTGGAGTGGTGTGGGGTCTACCACCTCTTTTGTTTTGTTTTTTTTTGTTTTTTGTTTTTTTTCCTTCCTTTTTGTGCATTCTAGGATTTTCTGCAAGGCCACCTATGCATCAGAAATTAAAGCCCACCTGCATTAAACTGAGAAAATGTTTAAACATAGCAGTTAATTATTAGCAGAGGCCAAGCTGTTCAAGGATAATCATGTTGCAGAGGGGGCCATGCACTGGGGTGGACACTGAAGCTTTGGGTTTATTTGTTTATTTACAGCACACCATCATGGTCTGATTTCAAAGCTGAATTCACAAACTCATGTCTGTAAAGCCTAGCAAGAAACCATGTTTGCTTTAAAAAGGTGCTACTTTTAAAAACGTAGGCTGTAATGGTGTACTGTAATGGTGTCGTCTAAAACGGTTGTTGCACAGTGGTGTACGACGAGATAAATGTTGTTTTTGAGATAGTATTTTTATTGTTCTGATTGCTTGCTGAACTTTGCCATCTCGTCTGTCAGCAGAGATGCTGTATTATTCTGCTAGATTAGGTGTTGTTTGTTTGCTGGACATTTAAGTGGAATTTTTTTGCCATTTTTGTATGTATGAAATACATACAACATGAACACACAATAGTTTGCTTGCATATTTAAAGGAAAAACATAAAATTTGTTTCCAATAATTCATAAAAGTTCTTCACAAAATGATTATAAACAATACTTTGCAAAAATCACCCATAATTTCTTTAATTACCAGTCAAAATGGCCGACAAGTACAATTACATTTATTAAATACAATTATTTTTCAGCATCTAGAAAAAAACAGAAAACAGTGTAATGTTCTCTTTAACGACTGTGTTAAAGAGAACTTTACACAAAAGCCTAAACAACTAAATTTAACATTAGTTTTAAGTATTTAGTGAGCCTTCATTACAGCTTCGGTTCTTTTCAGGAGACTTGCGTTCAGTTTTTTTTAAGGAATCTGCAGGGATTTTTTTAATATCTTAAACAATGCTTAAAGCTTTCATCCTTATCTAATTGGTGGTCCACCAGGTTATGCATGGTGTTAGGAGTCTTGTTTATATCTTTCAGTAATTATTTGAAAAACTCCATTTTTATTACCTATCTTCTACTTGTTCTTTGAATTACCCCTTCAATATCTCTTCAGGAATATCAGGAAAATCTAATTACTTCTACTCAATGACTATTTTGACTGGTGTAGCATCATAATACTGAACATACTACACCTAAAGCATATAACACAGCAGAATCTTTCACTGGAAAGGGTGGTTCCACTGTACTGTAGCTCCACCATTCCTTTTGGAAAAGTTTTAGCATGCCTAGCTCTGTTCCATCACAATCATTTAGCACAGTGGTGATTTTAGTTATAAATGCTGCCACTGCGTAGGACAAACAGGAAAGGGTGATTATGCGAGCGCAAACATTCACAGACAAGAGGCTAGCTAGTTTGTGTTTGAAACCGCAGAGTTCCAGTTACTTGCTAGATCTCATGTGAAGCTCCACTGAATGGCAGGTATGTTAGTAAAAAGCATAACAGTTATGAGTTAATTCAAGCGATTTAAAGATATGTTCCCTTGGTGCTAAATTTTCTGTTCTCACATTTTCACATTAAGTTTCTCCCCCCTCACTGTTTCAGATCTCATTTAATGCTGGGCTTGTGGTGCTGGACCGTCAGCAGCATGTGTGGGTGTTTTTTATGTGGTGTGCGTTTGTGTATGTGCATGTTTGCTCTGCCCGAGTGACATTATCTCCACTCCCATCTCCTCAGCCGGCTGCCACAGAGGACTTTGGCCACCTCCCGCCGGAGCAGCGCAGGAAGCGGCTGCAGCAGAAAATCGATGACATCAGTAAGGAGCTACAGAAGGAACTGGATCAGAGGTAAGCGGTGTGGCGCGCCATCTCCCTGGCAACCATCGCTATGACAACTAGCCAGAGCAAGATCCCTGGGGTCACTAGGGTCTGGGGGTTTCTTTGTTGCTCGAGGTCTCCGTGGAGATTCTGTGGTGTAGACATCTGAAGTTAAAGCATCAGTTTGGCAATAAAAAACAAATTTGCACATTTTCACCCTTTACCCTGAATGCAGTCCATCATGCAAGCTCAAGTTTGGTGTCTGCAGTTTGCTTCTTAAGTTTTGCCCTGGAGCTGTGAGGCTAATGTAGCTAACAATTTATAGAGGCTGATTAACCATCAATTAGCCTTGTGTGAACTGAAAACCCTTTTCACATACTTGTTAAGTAATCTCAGATAGACTTGCTTATGTGGTTTCTGATACTGTGTGACATACTGTTATCTACAGATATGGACAAATGTGTGCTGCAAAGCTAAATTCAAAAGTAGTGGCTGGATTTTATCTTCACTTTTGTGCATATTTAAAGATAGTTTGTCATATAGTAGTAACCACATAAGGAAGTCTATTTGAGATTAAACAATCTACACTGCTTGAGGCATGTATAAGGTGATTTAGGCCGGTGCCAGTAGTAGAATAATTTGTAGGACAGGCTATTCATTGTAGGCAGGCAGGCAAAATCAAGGTAACAGGAGAAGAGCTTTGTTTTACATTTTATACATTTCTAAATGTGCTGTCTCCCAAGGTGTCTTGACCTCAGGCTATAGCCAGTTGCAAAGAGCAGTGCGGTCATGATACTACCTAAATCAAAGCTACAATACAATAACAAATGTGAAACGTCGATTTGTGCAGCTTGGTTCCCATAAACAGACGGTATGGACTGGGAGGTGAACTGTATGTTTTGGTATGTTTTGAACATTGTTTACATACTACAACAACCTCTTTTATTAAAGTAAGACTAGGCAAGCCTAGTTTTACTAGATCGCCAGGCCTCACGCTCTGGGGCACATATCTGGGGACACTTGTCAGTACATGACAACCCATGCTTGTAGGTTCAATATTACTGTAATAAAGCCTGTAGCAGCATGTTAGTGCTTGGAACACTAATATACATAACCCAAAGGGCAGTTAACCAGCTCACAGACATACAGTCCAAAATTAGCTTTTCAAAGTTTTTAGCTCGACACATAATCTGCTTCAAAAACACAAAACTTATGGTTATGCTCCAAATTAAGAAACTGGCCCATCACCAACCAGTGGTGAGGTAGCTGATCAAAAAATATTCCATTACGAATTACTACCTCTCTCAAACTGTAATGGGATCACTGTGCTTTTCGCCAGAAGTAATAAGTAATCTCACAGTTCTCATTACATCTACATTACTTTCTAAACCCCAAACATATCTGTATCAATCTTAAATAGCCAATCTCACATCATTTGAAAGGCATTTCACCATCTGATAAGCTAAATCCAAACACCACTAGCTGGCTGTTGGGTGCTTAAAAAAATGGCTACTTAAGTGACCATTTAAATAAGGAATGCAGTGTTAATTACCATTCATTACAAGTTCATTTAAATTGCAAATAATCGGCCGCACCCACCGTTTACTTCTGTGTTGCATAGTTTAATGAACTGTTTGTGCACCATTTTAGATTAAAATAACATTTATAATACATAATACATTTTCTCCTTGACATTCTAATGCTTTGCATTTACAAATATAAACTTGAATAACAAATGCCCTCTTCTACTCAGCATTTAAAGTTGGCTACGCTTTGCATTATTTTTTTCTTTCATTTCCCGCAGCACGCTCTCGCCTAATGCCAGTTTAACATGCTCATTTACCTGAAAAAAGTCGACAAGGAGCCACTAAACTTTCTGTTGGCTCGTGGCAACCCCCAACATAATATTTCAAACAAGGACACTCGCCCACATAGCCTTAGCTTACCTAACACTGTGTAATATAAGAAGTCTGCACCTCTGTTGGACGAATTTCGTTTGGCAGGCTGGGTGCATTCCTACCTCCTACCAAGGGTTAGCTACAGTTTTCATGCATGCGTGCTTTACCAAAGTTCGTCAGTCAGTCAGTGAGCGAAACTGCGTCTTTTAGGCCAGCCCACTAGGCAGTCTAGCAAAAAGATGGGGAAATTTAGTTTTTAGTGATGTAAGCCATGTAAAAACCTAAACAACCAAACGTCTTTAGCTAAAGCATACTGCCGCAGCGAGATTGAAACATTTACGGTATGTCATACCTTTGATCACTTCATGTGAGGAATTAGATATTTGCTTCAACTTAGCCTATTTAAAGCTTATTATTATTATTATTTTTTTTTAGAGCATTTCAAGTAATCCACAAATTCAGAAAAAGAACGTCAGGGTTGCATTTTTGCATTTTCAGAAATGACGCTGCATGTCATGGTTTTGATTGGCCACAATACAACAAAGACACAGAAAGCAAATATGTCTGTCCTAAAAACAAAACAGCGTCCATAATTTAAAATATTTTAAATTACCAAAAAGTTTTGTATATATTTTAAACATTTTAAGCAATTTCCTCCTCATATCTTTCTGGCGGTTAGCTTGATGTCTTCTCAGGGCAGATTGAGCCTGTCCATAGCTCCCCCAGTCTCATGTGAAACATTAAGCCAAAAAGTAACACATGCCACAAGATAAGCTACAAATTACAGCAAATATCTAAAAATATCAGTCCAGAATGTCACATTGTGCACATTGTTAAAATAAAGTAATTTTAATTGGCAGTCTAGCCTTAATCTTCCTTAAATTGTAAAATGCATCTGTTTTATCTATGAAAACAAAAAGATTGGATTACATTCAGGATCAGAAAGACTCGAGTGCTCGGAGGGGGAACCAAATTGGGATGTCCCTAGCCAAATTGTTAGATGATTCCTAAAGAACAGGTCATTTAATATATTGAACTAATTCAGAACAGTCAGCCATCAAAACTGTTCAGCCTCCAGTGGTCCTGTGGTCAGAAACTGACCTAACACACTGAGAAAACATGCATTCTCATCGAGAGGCTTCGGGGGGAGCTCAGCAAATATGAGGTACATCAAAGACCCTGTTTTCACATGCATTCAAGCACATACTGTCGTTCTCACACTCTTGCATCCACACTTTTACAACCAGTTGGTTTAAATCAAAATAGTATAAATTAATGCACATTAATTACATGCCATATTTGTGTGTGCTGTTGTGTGGTGGAAATACTTTTTGCTATGTTGAGCTCTTAGAGGTATTTAAGCTTTGAATCTGATTTTTGAAATTCTGTGGCAACCATTTGAAAGAGCACAGGCTATAGGAATTTGGGTGTTAGTTTTAGTGGGGAGTGTCCTTGTTTGTGGCAGATTTCTAGCACCAAACATTTATAGTTGTCCCAGGCGTCTATTCTTGCTATGAGATTACATCTGAGCCTGAACGACTATCAACCCCGTCCACCTCCTTGACACCAGGCCTGATTTAGGCAAACTTCAGACACCAAACATGCCTTAGATTATTGACTCCATTTTAGGTAAAGGCTAAATTTTGTAATTTCTTTTTGCCAAAATAACAGTCTTCTCTCGTCTATCCTCTTATCTTTTTATCTCTCTTTTCTCTATGCAGTGAGGCTCTGGGAAAGATGAAAGACGTATATGAGAAGAATCCTCAGATGGGCGATCCTGCCAGCTTGGCCCCACAGATCACCCAGACTACCCACAACATCGAGAGGCTTCGGGGAGAGCTCAGCAAATACGAGGTACATCAAAGACCCTGTTTTCAAATGCATCCAAGCACATACTGTCGTTCTCACACTCTTGCGTCTCTGTGTTGTAGTCGTGGCTCGCGGGAGCTGGAGGTCGAGGAGACACTCTCCGTTACTCCACTCACTCACTGAACAACAATACTGGCAACAATGTGTACAGGTCAGTCTTATCTTCCAGACAAGCTACACAGCACACATGCACGATAAGCTTATCTCAAACTCGCATGTTTGCTTTAAATAAAGTTCAGGTTCAGAAGTAGGGGGGCGGTTATCAGTGCTTGAGGGTTGGCTGGACTCCAAGCAATGCAAAACAATAAAAATACTGAACCGCTTCAATTCACAACATTCAACAAAGGCAGTTCAGTTGTTGGCAGAGAAGTTGATCGTGACTTGAGTGAAGTCAGCAATTAAGTGAAGGTGTTCCTGCAACACATGATGGTTTTCCATGAGAAAAAAGTCTTGGTAATGTCCTCAGGTGTAATTCATTTTGCAGTAGATGCTAGGATCAAAGTTCTCATACCCTGATATTGTCTTAAGATAATAAGTGGTACGTGGGTGTACAGTTTTATTAGGCTTCGAAGCTTTGAAGTGAGCTATACTGCACATGAGCTAAAACTGCAGTCCACAGTAGTGGACAGTGAGTGAGGGCAATGCTCTTAAGTGAAAACAGTGTTGTAAAAGGGATGTTCACGGTGTCATTCCTAATCATCTGGCTCATCACACCGCACTGACAACACCACCGACTCCAAGAATGGCACGATATTTGGTGTGCTGTAGAGTTTGATGCAACAGTGGCAGACAGAAAATCAAAAATGAATATGTTCTTATGTAGGACTACGAAAAATGAGTATTTTACAGTTGATTATTCATATAAATGAACTCACTAACCAATTTTTTTGGCATAAATGTGGTCTGTGAATGTAAAGAAGTGTAACAACAAAATATTTGGCAAACTGAGTGACTGAGCTAAATTACCATTATGGAAAAAAAATGTGTGGTGCTTTGTTTGAGCCCATAATTTTGTGGTACAGTACATGATAAGCATTGGATAAGTGCTATAATAATAAATATGTAGAACTACGACAAACCAGCGTCGTATAACCGATTTAACATTCTAAAGTTCTAGTTCGTTAGCTGATGAATATGTTTCCAGGATAAACAGATGGCATTTTTTTTTCATGTAAAAACTGTTTACAAGTTACAAGCAAGTTACTAGTTGTATACAGTTAGCTAGCTAATGTATATACCTCTGACAGGACGAGCTGCTGAATTTTTTTTTAAATAGCTGCTTTGGCTTAAAATATTCCAGTGACATTAGTAATGTAACACAATGAGCTTTAGTGATGTTTGTAAGGAGAACGTTAGCTCGTTCTGACAAATCACTTAAAGAACAAATTTGTCTCTCTCCATCCAGTCCTGATGGAGCCCAGTCAGATGAGAGCACCCCTGATGCCTCCCAGGCCATCTATGCAGAGTTTGACGATGACTTTGAGGAAGAGGAGCTGTCTACTCCTATTGGCCAATGCACAGCACTCTACAACTTTCCAGGTGTGAATGAAATTGCTTTGCATTGCTATTGACTATTAACATTATGTAAGATTTGTTAAAGGATTTGTTATGATTTCTTGTATAACTATGTTTTATCACCTGTCTGTAAAGCACTTGGAGCTGCCACAGGCATGAAAAGTGCTATATAAATAAAATATATCTTAAATAATATTATTATTATTATTATTTGTTGAAAAAAAGGAGCATTACGAAGTCAGGAGATGCTAAAATATGGTTTGTGTGTGCTGCTGTGAGTCGCCCTGTGAAGCCTGAAATAATGATTTAAAAGTCAAATGTGTCATGTCGGGTTGGATTTGGCAGCGATCGTCACTCGCACAGGCCGAAAAAAAAGGTCTGGCTCACTGTTTACATCTAAAATGCAAAATCAGCACTATACTGATGAAGATATGATAAAAATGCTAGATAATTCACTCACATCCTCAGAAGACACGTCCTTCACCAAGGTTTCGTTTGTATACCCTTTCAGTGCGCTCGTAATCATCACAAGTTACAAACTGTTTTTCCACACGTTGCATGCAGTTACACACTTCCACCAGAGAGGTCTCCAAATCCCCAAAACTTAACACTTTACTTGCAGGGTGTCTACATAACACAACATCTTACATAAACACTTCATAACATGTTCATAAATGCTTAAATCATAAACATTTATCAATTGTTTTACATGACATGATATTAATATAGACTATCATTTTTCTGAGAGACAATTTCAAAATAAAAGTCCTATTTTTTATTTTATTTAATTTTCAGTGAAACACCTCATCTCTGGACAGCCAAAATAAGAATTGCCTCGCCGTGTCCATTTGGTCATTAAGTGCTTTGACACTCAGGCATGTTTTGTACTTTATACTTCTTTGTAATTATTTGTTTTTTCGTGAACGTTTGTTGCTTTGCATGCCACTTTACTACATGGACAGTCTATTATCTTCAACTCCATCTTAGTATGGTGGTGAGAATCATTGGATGAAGGAATCTGACAGGGCCATTATAATACAACATAATACAGACCATTCCCTGTAGATGCTGAATAGCCCCATGAATGTAAGTAGACTACTTTGTGTTGCAATTGAAAGATCCACATAACATGCATATCAGTCTGAGTTTCATAACTTTTAGTAAAGGCTAAACAAAATGGATTAATCCCTGGGACAACAGTACAATAATTAAACACACACAGTGTCAATTAAATAAGATAACCAATGCACAATCATAATTGTACCAGAATAATACCAGAAGCGAGGAAGAAACCCCTAAAAATAAAATATAACCTGTAAGTATTCTTTGTGATAACAGTGCTTGCATTTACCCCCTCGCGAGTTACACTTAGGATAAATAAAAAAATAAAAATAAATAAAAATGTTTTCCTCAACAGTGTGTAGGCTGTTGAGTTAAGCTTTTGGCACAATAAAATTTTAAAGAAGACATAGAATAAAAAGGGAAAAAGAATAAAGTGCAAAACACAAATACTTAAGAAGAAACAAATAATTAAAAAGAAATTGAAAGTGTAGGCAAAATATGCCCAAGTTTCAAAGAACTTGGTGACCAAATGGGCAAAGCAAGGTCATTTTTATTTTGTCTGTCCAGAAATGAGGAATTCCCCTGATAATAATATAATAATAATAATAATATAATAAGATGACTTTTATTTTGAAAGAAATGTCTCTGACATTTGAAAATGACATTTGATATTAATATCACATAAAACATATATGATTATGAATTTTGATTTAAACATTCATGAACATGTTATAAATTGTTTATGTATAATGCCATGTAAGGCTTTATGTAGACACCCTTCAAGTAAAGTGTTGCTAGGTAGTTGGTATAGTGTAGTGGGTAACACCTCTGCCTTCTACGCTGTAGACAGGGGTTCAATCCCCTGCAACCACCTACACCGTACCAATAAGAGTCCATGGGCAAGACTCCTAACACTACCTTCGCCTACCTGTGTAAAATTATTAAAATTATAAGTCACTCTGGATAAAGAGCGTCTGCCAAATGCCATAAATGTAAATGTGTTGCTACAGTCAAGTCAATTCCATCTGCGTACAAGTTCACAGTGGAGAGAAACTACGTTCCTCCAGGACCAACATGGTGCAACATGGAACAAAATAAACAGTACAGACAAAGTGCAAACGTGAGTGTGCAAAACATTAAACTAGAAACAATACAATAAATACGATAAATGAAACAGACATTAGACACAGTAAACAGACAGGACAGTGCAGCACCGACACGGCACTCATTTCTGAACACGAGGTAGTGAGGATGAGGTGCAGAGATACGTAACATGCTATGATATGGATATACGCAGTCAGATTATGACATTCGTGAGCACAGCAGTTACTGAGGGAGGATATACAGTACTTCAGTAGAACACAGTATTAGCAGCAATGTTCCAGATAGTGCAAGTAGAGCATCAAAAGAGGTGTGTGTGTGTGTGTGTGTGTATGTGTGTGTGTGTATGAGTGTAAAGTATTTGTATGAGGAGGTTTTCAGTTCAGTCCTTGTGAGTTTAAAAACATGATTGCTTGAGGAACAAAGCTGTTGCAGGCAGCGATGGTACGGATGCTCCTGTACCTTCTGCCAGACGGCAGCAGTGAGAAAAGTCTGTGTGAGGGATGGATGGGGTCGTCCACAATGCTGGTGGCTTTGCAGATGCAGCGTGTGGTGTAAATGTCCTTGATGGAGGGGAAAAAGAACCCCGATGATCCTCTCAGCTGTCCTCTTGCGTAGACTTGCGTAGTGTAGCTTTTAAGTAGTTATCAGAGTTAATAGTTTTCACCAGCCTCCAAAGGGTTAAGCTATGCCCACTTCACTTTGTAATTTAAAGGGGAATTCTACTGTTCTTTCTAAATTTCTGCATAATTAAATTGTTACGATACAAAAGAAATCCTACACAGTGGTTCAAAATGAAATAGTTTGTTCTAGAGAAACTTACGGAGTCAGTTCACAGTGGTGATGATAGGAAACAGATGTCCAAAATGTTCAATGCTTCTAAAAGCTCATTCACAGGAAGTTTTTACACAAAATGGTTACAAAAATGTTGATTGATGTCTGAGACATTGTTTTAAGATACTTTTGAGAAAATATTTTGGCCTGTAATGTATTTTTTAATGCATTCATGGCAGAGTGGATTATGCAGGCTGTTTTAAGGTAAAACGGTGCTCAGAGAACAAAAAAAAAGAAATAGCATTATTTTACCATTCTAATAGAACTTGGAAGACGTGTAGGTGCATTGGTGGTTTTGGATAGCAAGTTGAATGGCTATATTTGTGACCCCGGCTCCTATCACCACCACTGTAAAGAAATCTGAGTCTAAAGGAATCTAAAGGAATTCCCCTTTAACAGAAAGTATAAAGAAAAGTATCCGTATGGGTATTTGTATTGGAATTGAATGTTTTCAAACTCAGCCCTAGTTGTGCCTACAATAAGTTATATTCTTACTAACAGGCTCCAGTGAGGGCACCATCTCCATGCAGGAGGGTGAGGTTCTTTCTGTGGTGGAGGAAGACAAGGGCGATGGCTGGACGAGGGTGCGGCGAAACAATGGTGATGAGGGCTACATCCCCACCTCCTACGCCAACATCACGCTCAACAAGTGACCCATTACACCCCCCCCACGCAGCTGCTGTACAGCGCCACCCCCCCAGCCCTGGAGCAACTCCCTATAACGGCTCATCATCCGCCCCAGACCGCTGCTCTCTTCAGGGTGCTGAGAAAGAGAGAGACAGAGAGAGATGGAGGATACTCTTGTATGTGGACTTTATTCTGACAGGTTCTGGTCAGGTCAGCGAGTGAGAAAGTTGGAACCATTTCGTGCATTTTTCTTTCCACTCCATCCCTCAGCCTTTCCCGTTCATCAAACAAAGACAAACCGCGGAGGGAATTGGGTTTGGATGCTTTAGGCAAATAGGATGCATCCATACGACACGTTTCACAAAGTGTGCATGGAATCGGACAAATGATTAATTCATCAGCTTGAGGCTACCTTGTCAGCGCCGATCAGAAGATGATTACCTGTAACCATAGCTACCCTCTCTCTGTCCCATGCCTTGACCTTCCTGTTGTCCTCACAGTTTTTCAGTTTAAACATTCACTCAGACATAATGCAAAGGCCATTGCGCGCTGCTCCTTTGCAAATGCTTGCCTACGTGTGCAATTATAATGGAATGATTGAGCGTCTGTATGAAAGAGAGACAGAGAGAGAGAGAGAGCACATTAGAAACCAGTTGATAAGGTCAAACATTTCTTCATTTATAAATATTAATGGAGTATTAAATACTACATACCCTGCAATGCAAGACTGTTAAGACAATCAGCACCATATTTAAAGGGGAATACCATCAATGCATCAAAATTTCTGCATAATTTAATGGCTGACATTAGAGGTGGGCAATATGGCAAAATGTGATATTTCAACACTTCAAGAAGTTTTCATGATGTTTAACGTCACAATTTCTATTTTTTCTGACATCTGATACATTGGAAAATAAGATAAGTAGTGCCACATTTAAAAAAAAAAACACTCAAAAACTATAAATACGATGATTTAAAGTCAATATTTTGCATACAGTTCAGCACTAAATCCAATTAAACAGGTCTTATGCTCTGCAATGAAACATGCAGATGGGAAGTGTTAAGTACTGACTGCTCAGCAGAGTATATTGTGACACATTGTGAAGTAATTTATCACAGTAACGGTAAATATTATCATATTGCCCAACCATAGTTGATTCAATCAGTCGTTCAGAGTGGTTTCTTATTAAATAGTTTGTTGTAGAAAAACTTGCCTACTCAGATTTCTTAACACGGTGGTGATGGGAACCAGGGGATGCGTCTACAGTGCAAATATAGCCTTTTTATTGGTGAACCAATAAATTGCTGTTGGCGGATCAAAACCTTGTATATCCAAAATGGCAACTTTACCGGAGAAGGAAAGAACATACTTTACTTTTAATTCAAGTCAATTTTTTTTTTGGTCCATTTATCATGAAATTTACACACAATGTAAAGGACAACAGGCATTTTGAAATTATATCAAAAACTGAAAAACGACATAAACGGAGATGCAAGATTTGTCCCGACAGAAGTGAAATGCTTTACAGTGCTGTTCATGTTCCTCTCCACCTTGAATGGATTTTAAAATATTCATTTAGACCAAAAACTAACACAAAACGGTGTCTCAGCCATCACAGAATAAGGTAGAATCATTTCATAAAAAGCTTTTAGCATATAACACTTTAGATGTCTGGTTCCTGTCATCACCACACACACACATTTTATAAGCCGCTTATGCTTCTGGTTCGCGGGGGGAGGTGGAGCCTATCCCAGCGGTCATTGGGCGGAAGGCAGGAATCTGGCCATCACTATTGTCCATAATTCTGACTTTTTAAGTTTCTGTAGAACTGTGCATTTCACAACAACCTACTCTGAATCATTTTCTTTACATCCTAATCATGTTATTATGCAGAAATTTAAAAAAATTGGTGAAATTCTTCTTTAAGCTCCTCTAATTTCATGACAGCTTATTACAGTTCCATCTACAGATTTTTTGCAAAGAAAATATACGATTTTGTGCTGAGAGATCATAAGTTATTCATTGTTTTAAAAAGGAATATTAAATATTGTGTGGTCACATGTCCATAAAAGATTACTGCACACAACACAGTTTATCAGCAATTAATGTGTAAATAAATAAAAGAAAACTAAAGATGTGCAACATTTAGGACTTTCATATTTATGTATAAGAAATAATATATTTTAGATATCACAACACCACTATTGTCTTACTAGCGTTTTGTCCATAAGGAATAAGGAGTGTAGTCTGAGCCGATTCCTGTATGCAGTAGTTAATGGTGAGGAAGACGCGTTGGGATATTGTATCGCTGTAGTTTGCCTGATTGAGCCAGAGTCTGTGCTCTACATGCGAGGCAGGTTCTTATGTCCAGGTGCCTTCTAGTTAAGCATTGTGTATGTAACATTTACAGTACAGCTGTCTACTGTCCCTAGAGACTTTATAAATGTCGAGCACATTTCCCAGATGATAAGGTGTCATGTGTTTTATGATCTACATTTGTCACTGTACTTTTTTGTAGTTTCCTGATGTGAGATGCCCATTACTGACTTGTTGCTGGTCACATGATTAGTCATAAAATGTGCATAGTGTCACCATCCACCATCTGCTCGGATGAAGAGTCATCTCAGGTCAGGCGCATCTGTCCACCATTACTTCTTGTCACTGCATAAATTACCATATCTTCTCTTTCTGCAAGCTTTATTTTGCTTAATATTTCATCAGGTTTTAATGGAAAATTCCACTTTATGATGGCTGTCCTGCTGCAGTTACCCACTGTAAGAATTTTGCAGTAGGTTGGTGAAAGACATGCTGGCTTAAGTGGAGACACTCATTACTTCCCCATGACTCACAGGCGCCCCCTTCTGGTGGTGAAATGGGTTTGCTGTTGGCCTCATAGCTAGAGATCTGCATGGGCATGAAAGTGAAGCCTGAACTGACCCGTATCTGTGACTTTGAGACCTGACCCAACAGGACAAGGCCTGAATCTTACTGCTAAATTTGCCACCCAAACTCGACCCAAACCTTTCATGTGCTAACCGAGATGAAATATCACTGAGGTGGTTTTACAGTGCTTTGCTTTGTTGCAACATGCCATCTTCATGCTATTTTACACATCTGTAAATACACTGACAGTATTTATCAGTATGGTTTTGTGGAATTGCTGATCATACCTGACAGAGCACAGCATCCAGGTGGCAGTCATGGGCTGGAGGTAAGGGAACCAGCCCTGTGACTGGAAGGTCGCCGGTTCGATCCCCTGAGCCGACAGTACCATGACTGAAGTGCCCTTGAGCAAGGCACCTAACCCCCAACTGCTCTCCAGGCGCCATGGATAGGGCTGCCCACCACTCCGGGCAAGTGTGCTCACTGATCCCTAGTGTGTGTGTGTTCACTAGTGTATATGTGGTGTTTCACTGCACGGATGGGTTAAATTTAGGTGAAATTTCTCTGTTGTGGGATTAATAAGAGTCACTTAATCCACTCCTGACTGATCAGCTGTCAGTGTTGGCCCTGCCGCTCTAAAGTTCCTCTTGCTACTGCAGAAATGCTTAACAAACAAGTGTAGAGATCCACTGTGATCTTTCCACCAACCCAACACGTCCCTCTCATCATCCATGATGTGATCAAGACTGACCGTGACTGGAACGTCATCCCCGGTTTCGTTTAAGGGCACGTTCACCCACTCCTCAAACTCTAGAGCTGGTCCAAATGCAGCTATAGACCATAACATTGAGAGGACGAGAGAAAGCGCAAGTGTGTGAATTTTGCATAGCCTTATTCCTTCAACTATAAACAAATCCACTACAAAATCTCTGATTACACTACAAACCCAAGCCTGATGATGTATGTGAAGAATCTGTCTGAACCTGGCCCAAAACCTAACTTTGTCATCCTAGTTGATCTCACGTAGCAGATCTCTATTTGTAGCCCACAAGTTCCCCAGCCTGATCCTGGATCACCCTGTCCTGCACAGTTTAGTATTTGTATCTTGTTAATGATTTGATGAGATAGATCAAGTGTTTGAGCAGAAAAACACCAAAATATGCAGGACAGTGTTCCTCCAGAACCAAGGTAGACCACTAGACCAAGAATGGCCAAACAATTGGTGGACCAAACAAACTAATGAAGTCTTTTTCTATGTCGATCAGAAAATTGTTCAGAAAAAGAGGGTAAAATAAAGAGGAAAAATGCAAAAAGGAAAACGAAAGAGAGGAGTACCTTTTTAAAAAAAGGTGAGAGCATATTACATACTCACTGACCAGTTTATTAGAAACCTTGTACTTCCACTTACTGTCCACTGTATTGGGAACTTTGTATTTCTGCTTACTGTCCACTGTATTAAAACCTGGTACTTCCACTCACTGTCCACTTCAATAGAAACATCTACTTTTATTCCCTCACTGACTACTTTAATCGAAACCTTGTTCTTCCACTCACTGTCCACTTTATTAGAAACCTTGTGTTTACACTCACTGACCAATTTATGAGGTCCACCTACCTCGTAGATCCGTTGTGTACAGTTACAGACTAGCCCAGCTGTTGCTGCACAGTTTATCAACCCCCCTCTACCTCATTCACTACTGGTCAGTTTCTGATGACGGGGCTGTTGGGTACCAGATCAGAGTGTGGCACCAGTATGTGTGTATAAGGCACTGGGGCATCTTTGCTAGATTTAGAGTGGTCCGCCCCAGCCGAGAGTGCTCTGTGGTCAGAAACTGACCACTAATTAAGAGATAGAGGATGGCAAAAACAGATGGCAGTATAAGGGAGGTGTTTCTGATAAAATGGCCAGTGAATGAGTCTCCTATAGGTGGCAGTGTTGCTCCACAGATCCAGTCAGATTTTTTTTTTTTCCTTTTTGTAAATTTATTTATTTAATATTTGTGGTCTGACTTCAAAGAATAATGTGCATTAATAAGCTGAGTCGAAAGGTGTAGATAAAGAAATCAACATGTGCGCGCAACCTAGTGAACCTGAGGCTGATTCTGGTCAAGCAATGCAGCTGAAGCTGCACAAGGCAGAACTAATGCAGGTATTATGAGAGAGCTGGTTGCGTGCCCATGCAAGCTGCTGAACAACTACAGCCCCCAGCATGTACGTACATGAATGGACACTTTGCACTACCTTTTAACAGTAAGCCACATGGCGAAGGACACTTATTTTTATTTATTTATTTATTTTTTTATAATAACCTGCTTTCTCTGGGGTTTTCCATACAATTCTATAGGCAGGCTCACCTTTGCAAAATACTATTTTTTTGTTGAATTTATGGCTCCCCTATATGTTCCTCCTGGGACCCTGTAATTTATATGCTGTGTCACGGCTTCCCAAGGCACCTTAAAGGTCAGTTTTACCATAATACTGAGGCTGTCTGAAACTGATGCGGACGGTGAGAAAGGTTTCAAAGGTTTCGGGGGACGAGTTCTCTAAGATAAGCTGCTGCTCCCCAGAGAACTGCATCACCGCGCTACTTTCTGGAACAGAGACTCCAAACAAATCCTCCTCTTGGGTTAATACTAGATTCAGAGAACGCCACCCGTGCTGCAAGATCTAATGCACTTATTCTCTTTGAACCTCCCCCACTTGGCACTAACTCGCCCTTTATCTTTTCCCAATAGGAAGACCAAACATGTGGCATTGTGTGTTCATTGTGTACAGTAATCCAGCCCTACTCAGTGAGGATAGAACTGGATTTTGCTTTGTTCTCCATGTGCCTCACGCTGGGACGTTGCTTGTCCTCAGCTCTGCAGCCCACCTGAATATCTAGCAAGCTAACAAGCCAATAAGCTGTAGTTTCCCCAAGCCAGACTTGTAGCTTTGTCAGAAGTCAACCTGGCCAAGAACCGCCTACTTTGACGGGCAACGGCTGTTTGAATGACCTGCTGGCACGACCACAGTTAGTCCAGAATGCTGCACAATCAGATTGCTCCAATTTTGGCATCAGTTTAAGGTTTTAATGTGGGTTTTTCAGCACTTAATGGGCTGGCTTCGATATACAAATCAGATGTTTTAGCTTCACACGCCGTCAAGAGCCCCGAGATCTTTTGATCAATACCTCCTAAGGGTTTCCCCTTCAAGGAAAAAGCTAGAGTGATCAGGTTCTCTCAGTGGTGGCTCCAATTTGCCCTGTTGGTATCAGGCATGTGCCTTCTGTACCTCTCTTTTAAAACACTCTCCAGCCAAAATGGGAAAACTATACCAATTTTTATGCCTACATTCTACAGTGGTGCTGATTATTCAGATTTAAAGATTAGGAAAAGCCCCTTTTATCCTGGGAGTCATCAACTAGAAATTTTAATGATGAATGGACCAAAAGAATTGCTCCAAAATTGCTTGGAATAAAATCAATTTACATTGACTTAAAATAAAAATAAAGAATGTAAAGTTACCATTTTTGGAGATATTTGTTTTTCTCTGGACTGTGACACACACACACACACACACACACACACACACACACACACACACACACACACACACACACATCCCAACCGACCAGTTCATTAAGTACACCTCCTTGTACACTTATAGTCCACTTACCATATTGGTGCACTTTGTAGTTCTGCAATTACAGACTGTAGTCCATCTGTTTCTCTGCTTGCTTTGTTAGCCCCCTTTCACCCTGTTCTTCAACGGTCAGGACCACCACATTGATCCACCACATTATTTGAGTGGTGGATCATTCTCAGCACCGCAGTGACAATGATGTGGTGGTGGCATGTTAGTGTGTGTTGCGCTGGTATGAGTGGATCAGACACAACAGTGCTGCTGGAGTTTTTAAACACTGTCCACTCACTGTCCACCCTATTAGACACTCCTACGTTGTTGATCCACCATGTAGATGTAAAGTCAGAGATGATAGTTCATCTGTCGCTGCACAGTTTGTGTTAGTCATCCTCTAGTCCTTCGTCAGTGGTCACAGGACACTGTTAGCTGGATATTTTTGGTTGGTGGACTATTCTTAGTCCAGCAGTGAAACTGAGGTGTTTAAAAACTCCAGCAGCACTGCTGTGTCTGATCCACTCCTACCAGTGCGACACACTTTTTGGCCTGGACTAAATATTAATGGTTAGGCATTTAAAAATAACTTGTTGCTATTCACTTATGTAGTTTGTTTATTTGGACCTTCAGAATGTTGATGTAATTGGACCTTCACAAGTTTTAGTTAGATACCCCTGATGTATCTTGAAGATAGGAGAAAGTTGAAAAACTACAACTGGTGGTGTTTTTGGGGGCAAACCGAAAGCTGACCAATGCAGAAGGAAGCCAGATGTCTTACTGCAGATGTATAACTGTAGGAACTGTCTTTAAATCCTTGTTACAATGGAGAGAATGGATTACTCAACAGAAATTACTTATCAGATGAGGTGGACACCAAGCTAAAAGCTACAGTTAGCAAGGTAGTCAACAGGTAGCAATGTGCTAACCCGGCTATCAGGATATCTTACCTCAGTTTGGCTTCTT